TTTCTCTAATGGTTGACCGGGAGCCATATTAGACTCCAAGAGCGTCCGGGAGAGTAATGACAGATGGTGTCCCTGGTTACCAGGTAACCAGGGACACCATCTGTCATTACACACTGAGAACTCAGAGAAGCCGCAGTAATATCAAAGCGGTGCGGCCAGGTTCTCAGTGTGTAATGACAGGGATGCTGATCTCTCTGAAAGTGGCCGGAGCCAGCCGTGAGATGACGGCTGGCTCGGCCCAGCTGTCAGAAGCAGGCTGTCGGCCAGCTACGGCTTTCACCGCGGCTCAGTCGAGCCGAGTCATATGCCTTCAGCTCGACTGAGCCGCTAGGCCAACTTCGGGAACAGTACAGGATATAGTGAATAGCCCGTACAGCAGCCCTTTGGTTCTACTGAACTGAAGTGGTCCTGGGGCCGAAGCTAGCCGAAAGATCAGCCGAAGCTATGGCTAGATCCTTCGGCAGCTTAGTGAATAGACCCCTAAGTATTTTGAGGAGATATTGTATTGTCCTCAGAGATAATTTGTATCACTTTGTACACAGCCAGCTTCCAGCTGCACAACACAGTGAGCTGAATGCCTGCTTGGTGGCTGTCACAGCACGATAATCACATATATACACTGAGTGGCCAGATTATTATGACCAGTACTTCGTTGGGCCACGAGATGACTCCACGAGATGACTTCGTTGGGCCGCCTCGTGACTCCACGAGATGTTGAAAGGTGATGCGAGGAATCTGACACTGCACTGTTGCCCTCCTGTTGTCTTGTACCAGTCTTGCCACTCTCCGTTCTGCCCTAACATTGACAAGTCGCTGACGGCCACAATTCGCACGCTCAGACCCAGATTTTCAGCTGACAGTCCAGTCTTTAAACACCTTAACAACATCTTGAACATTTAATGAATTCTGCTGTTTTGCTGATACTCGCTCCATGGCTCCGAGCGCCAACAATCATCCCACGTTCAAAGGCTGCTGAATCGCGTTGTTTACTCATATCTTCAGAAAAAAAATAACTTCTACTGTCGTGGTAAACAACCTGCTTCCCTATTTATAATGGTCTGGCCCTCTAGAAACTTCAGCCCGAAATTATTGCTAATTTGCCTACAAACGTCAGGTGGTCATAATAATCTGGCCACTCAGTGTATATATTTGTATCATATCAATATTTAATATCAATATTTGATTTTTATTATTTCCAGCCAGTATAATAGATCCTTCACCTGTGCTTTCATTAAATACATGAAATACTGTGCTGGTTATAGATTTTCTTACCATGTCAGATTATATTAATGCACATTTGCTAATTTTTTTGTGTGCATTTGTCTTGTATAGATCGAAATTGCAGATATTCATTTATATTTGCAGAGACAAACTGTAGCTATTTACAGCCACCTGCCGTGTTCTCCTTGCAAGGCGGTACGAAGTTGATTACCCCAATTGCTGCTAATTAGGTATTGATGTGGTAATGATATTTTGCCTTTTGGCAAAAATGCAGTTACTTCATCAAACCCTATAAGAGTCCATCTACTGTAGATTCCACTGTATGTGATGACCTGAAACTTAGATGGGTATAAGAGTGAAATACTGGTTTCATGTTAAACACAATTCAAGGATATGTCACCAAACATTATATAATGAGGCAACACACAGTCTTAAATATAGGTCTTTGCATGTGGTTTCCTAAGTACTTACCCAATCAGGGGATGAAGAGGATACACGCTTTAAAAGGCTAGTGACTTCTACAGTACATTTACTCTTAAATAAGAACTCCAGGTAAAGAAAAAACTTCTGCAAGGGTTAAGTGCTCATGTTGTCTAGGGAATGCAAAATTATGCACCTGATCCTTGATCTTAAAGCAGTCAGAGCTCACCTCCTCTACTCTTGCTATGGAATGTCCCTCGGCATCTTCACATCTAATGTTGGTGAATGGACCTGAATAAGACATGATTGTGATGGACTCCCTGATACCCCAAATGGATATCTCCATCTTAAGCCTGTTCCCTGGGTGCTGGAACCAGAAGCAAGTGAATATAGCATAAGCTTATCCCAAGAATCAGACAACACTGACTTTGGAGTGGAAACATGAACTGGTTTATTGAAGAAAGAACACAGAGTTTATACCTCACAGAATCAGATAAGAGTTCAGTGTGTTACATTGCACAGTTCCCAACCCTAGACAGGAGGGTGCCGCATTGGAATTCCTTAAGCACAGACACTCTTTGAAATGAATGTCCTTAAGTAGATTCGAGCTTGATCACATCAACCTAAACAATGGCCACTCCAGACAGTCTGCTGCCTTCTCAAAAATAAGTTCAGCAGAGATGGTATCCAAACAAGATGGAACTCCTGATGGTTTAAATCAAGTCAAATAGTGAAAAGCTCTCTCTCTAGATAAAATATTAAACAGGAAAACACACACAGCAAACAAAGTTCTCCGGGGTAATAAATCTCTGCAGCCCTAGGTCCGTCACAGTGATGATGCCATAGTCCTTAGGCCGCTGGAGCCCAGGAGAGAAGAGGCTGGGGAGACCAGTCTAGCAGCTAGCAGACAGTGAGCAGGACTGATGATCAGTAGTGATAGGCTCGATGTTCGAGTTGTACAGGAGTTCGACTCGAACATCGGCAGTTTGCCTGCCGAGCTCCCCACGAGGCACTGCGCCTTGTGAAGCCCTGATTGGCCAAAGCCTTGCACCTGACCAATCATGGCTCTCCTGTCAGATGCCCTACAACTGTAAACAGTTAGGCGGAGCTAGCTGTCACTGTTAGCTCTGCCCAATTGTTTATATGTTGCCGACATCTGTCAAAATGACATTATGCGGCGGGAGTTCGTCGCAAGCAGACGGGACTGCGATCGTTGTTTTTTTCGAATTGTTTCTTTTGATTTTTTATTTCGTCGAGTCGCCCCCGTCGTAGAGAACGCTGGACATTGTGATTGATGGATTACGTTGGTTGATCCATTTTTTTTTTTTTATAAAAAAATTGTCAAAAACTTGTCTTTTGTTTTTTTTCCAAATAAAGGGTTTTTTCCAAACGTTTGGCCTCTTTTATACAATTTTATTTAACGCTTTAGTGAATAGGTAGGGGTACAGGTAGCCCTTACTCATTCACAAGGGGGGGCCTCATCTGGGTGCCTCTTTATTAACCTCCCTGGCAGTATTCCCGAGTCTGGCTCGGGGTTAATTTTCCATACCAGGAGCGGTAACCCTGAGCCAGACTCGGGACTGCAGAGAAAAGTGACACTTACCTTGTCCCTGCGAGCCCGCGGCGTCCTCTGCTGAAGTACCCTGATGTAAATAAGCCCCCTGCCCACACCCCCACAACCAACGCCCCAGGGCTTGTGGGGAAGAGATCCTTGTCCCCGTCTGCATTTCTTCAGAAATGTCATTTCTGCTGCAGCAGGTTCTATACATTGTACAGATGTGCCACTTTACAGTCAGTTTAAGGGGCCCCCACCAGGCATGATATTTAAAGGAATTTTTCATTTTAATTGTTTCACTTTAAGTGATTTTAAAATCACTGCTCCTTTAAAAATGGTATTTTAAAAAAAAAAATGTTTTCATTCATTCATATCCCCCGGGGCAGTTCTCAAATCCCCATACCCTTTTTATGGCCAATAAATTGCATATTAGGCTTCAAAATGGGGACATATGATTTTTAAAGTTCTACCCCCATAGACTTGCATTGTGTTCGAGTTCGAATTCAAACTTTTCCATGTTCTAAAGTTCGAATTTGAACCGAACAAGGGGGTGTTCGGCTCATCACTAATGTTCAGGTGAATAATACAGCTTTATTTTTATCCCCTAGACAAAAAGAACACTTAAGCCTTGCAGTGCAGGGGTAGCCCCATTGCAAAGTGTTGTTGTTTTTTTTCCCCAAATGTCTTCTTTTATGTCATATTCCCTTAACAAGCACAGCCTCACACATTGAGCTCATACCATGAGCTGCAACAGATGTAAGTCACAGATCATTCCCATTTTGCTTTTTTGCATATAGTGTAACTGCAGGTAAACACCTAAATACACAGTTGAAAAACATAAAGGAATACTCTTAGCTGCCAAAGAATTTGTAGTTCTGACCAGTTGTTTTTATCCTCTCATTGTGCTCTTGACTAGGTGACTGCTTAATCCAAGGTTAGCTCTTGCAGTTGCCATGCCACCTTTAACTGTTAACACTGATTGTAACCTTGATTATTATATATCATGGTTAGTAATACAGAGGATAAAGCCTATAATATGGTGTGCATCATTCACATGTGTTTGGGGCAGCATGATTCCTAAACACAGCCCTGATCATAAGATGCCAGTGCTAGATCACCCTCAGTGTACAGTGAATGTATCTCCCAGCTGTGCAATTGCTTGTAGATGTCAATGTGCACATTCATATACAGGTTCTGTACTGTGTATGACTCATGTATGACTAGTTGATAAGCTCTTTGTCTCTTGGGGCTTTTTCTGATGTAGACCCGCCAGCAGATGCATTGCAAAAAGCCTATTCAGAGTATTCAGAAAGGACAGAATGGATGAGCAAACAATTTGGTGTTGTGTAAACTACCACATTTGTTCTTGGAATTTTTATATTGAAGATTCCAGATAGTTGTTAACATTGTGATACTTAACACTGTTTAGAAGAGCAATTCCAGGGAATAACAAACCAATTTGTGAACAGCTAATATTATCCAAGAAACACATCAACTAAATGCTAAAGTAACAAAGTCACCTTAGTTTCTCTTAATTTAAGTTCCGTGTATTCCATGATTATCATATTCCACAAAGGTGAGGCTTTGATTTATCAAGTTCTCTGAGGATGAGGGGCTGTCATGTGACATCACTGCCCTCACCCAATCAGAGAACACCTAGTATTAATTATTAAAAATACTAGTAAATATAAATATATATATCATTTCCATGATTGGATATGACCTTAGCCACTGCACAGACAAACATCACAAAAGAAAATATAATATATAGTCACCCAAATTAATACAGATTGCTCTTTTCCAGCTTTGGAAAAAATTTAGCCGCCTCTCCTACAACTTTGTTGTCCTGTTTATTCCTTGGGAAATGAGAATAAAGAAGATAGAAAGTAAGTGTATTAAATTGCTTTTATTAATATGATTTGTATGAGCCCTATTACTTCCGGTCTAGGGAAATGTTAGCTCCTCAGATAGCACACATGGGGATCTATTTAAAAAGCAGTGATATGGCCATTCTATGTCTATATTGCTGTTTTAATTTAAAAATATGCACATTAATAAAGCACAGCGGTGTGATTTACAAAAATGCATGCCATTCCACTGGTTTCAGAACTCAGATCACAGTAAAAATGATACAGAATATAATTCACATGAATGGGCTTCCCTCCAATCACAGAGCTCTGGGGCACAGCAGGCTCCAAACCTCGGCCCACATTTTATGAATGGGCCCTAAAAAGCAAGCCATGGTGTGTGTATCCTGACAGAGTATAACAGAGGATAGCGATATTAACGCAACATTACAAAATGGCCCCATGGTCTACATATATTTAAAAGAGAACTATGGGGTAAGTTATTTTCCCCATAGTTCTCTTTAGGGTAACGGGGGGACATATACTAACCTCCTCCCATGACCCAAAGCTCAGTAGATAGTGGGCTATTGCCCGCAATATACTGAGAGCGCTGCAGCCCGGACGGATCCCGACAATACTGTCTGGATCCAACCAGCTGCGTGAGTGATAGCTGGCTCTGCCTATCTAGAGGCAGAGCCAGCTGTACCCGCCCCCTTTCGTTCCTCTACTCAGCGCTGGATGATTGGAGAGGGGAGGGGGGATTGGCAGTCACCGCTCTCTGCAGGGAGATGATTGGAAAGTGAGCAAGCGACGGTATGTGTTTGCTCACTTCCCGATCAATAGAGCCGACCTGTGACAGCGTCTTTGTCACAGGTCGGCTCTATCTATGAGGATGAGTGGAAATCACTCACCTCATAGATTTCCTTTAAGTAGAGGGATTTTCATTCATAGACTGGATTTGGATGTTTTAAGTATCCTTGATGCTAAAAGTAAAACTTTTACCAAAGTGGTCCCTGCAAAGAAGGTGAACCATAGCAAGAAAAAATCACCTGCTGAAGAATCTTCAGTAACCGAGATTTTGGGAGAGTCAGATTCCTGATCCGCTGCCCTCAGTGGTTTGAGCTGCTGGCCCTACTTTGCTACTATGTCCTGAAGTAACATGTGGATTGGCGGAAGGAACCACTGACTACAGAAGTGTTGGTTTCTGAAGTTTCTTCAGTGCTGATTTCTCCTTAATATGGCAGTGGTCAGTGACATGGATAGCAGGAGACTAGGGATGAGCTTTATAAATATACCCCTATATATATAAAGCAGTGAATGTGACTTTCACCAAATATACTCTGCATGTAAATCTTCCTGGTGAGTGTGTTTTAATGTAGATTGAAATAATCACCACCAGTGAATGTTTGGTGAATGTCACTGGTGGTGATCTTTCAATCTATATTGAGAACAGTCACAGACCTCAAACACTTGCACATGATGGAGGAGGTTGACATCATCACAAGTACCAACATATGGTATTTTGCAAAGTTCAGATGGAGAAAGAATGGGCAGATGAGTGCTGTGAAGGAGAGTGGTGGATGGTGCCTGATCAAAGTGACAGGATCTCTTTAGGCAGGAGAATACTGAGTCAAATACAGAGCTGCCTTTTATTAACAGTAGTCAAGTATTGTACTTTTTTAGTCATTGAAGAATGTAAAATGTTTGGAGTTTAAGTGATACCCTTTACTATTTAAAATTATTTACTAAGCTTTTGGAACTTGTTTCCCTTCAGGCATATACAATTTACAAAGTGTTATGAAAAAGTTATTGCCATGGTTCTAAAACTATTAATGGTTGTTGGGCACTTGTCTTCTTTATAACTCTGTGTGTAAATATGTTTTAGAACCATTTTCAAAATTCTATAATTCGTGAAGAAAGTACCTAGGTCCCAAGACCTTGCATCATTAATAACTAAGTTAGCCAATAAAGGGTATTATTTAAAGGATAAATGCATTTTAAAAACAAAATGTATTCATGTTTTTTCTCCCTTCCCCGACGTAACCTAACCCACCCACCCCTCCATAGATGCATACTTACCTTCATCTTATGGTCAAGGTCCCACTGTTTATTTACATCAAGCAATGGAAGTCTTCACTGTCCTTGCCTTCCCTGCACATAGACTTTCATGGATCTGTGTTCCTAGTCCGGAGATTATTGAAGACTGTCCCATAGAAGTCTATGAAATGCACAGGCAGGGCCAGCACAGTGAAGACTTGTGGTGCTTGTTGTCAACAATCAGCAGAACCGCAGACATCACATCAAGGTAAGTATGCATCCAGGGAGGGTGGGTTAGGTTAGGTCACAGAAAGGATACTAAAAGGAAAAGTGCACTTTAAAATGCACGTATCCTTTAAACTCCAAACTTTTTGTAATGTTTGATTAGATATTTCCACAAATAAATTAAGCTTCCACAACCTAAAAGCACCAAACAACTTATGTTTTCTCCATCAGGTCACTTTGGATCAGGTGTTGCTTCATACTTTATATTTTTACGATGGTTATTTGGCATTAATATCGTCCTCACAATAATGACTGGAGCTTTTGTGGTATTGCCAGAGGTAAGGACTGACACAGTCATACAAATGTAGTTTAGAAACATTTTAAACTAGTATTTCACAGATTTTCTACATTATTAAATAAATACATCCATACAAACCTAAATTAGCACAAATATTTAAAAAAGTAAATATCAACACATATTGACTGCTGCTTAGACACATGAGTAAGCTGATGATACATAGATATTGCCCTCATACAAGACACAAGTTGATTTATTATATTCTGTCTTGACCACCACTTTGTAACCTCTATAAAAGACATAGACTATTTATCAGCACCACTGTGGCGGACAACCTATAAGCTATGACAGATGTGAGCTCCATACTACCATGTTCATCAACTGATGGATAGCTCTAGTATCATTGTGCCCTTGTGGTAACAAGCCTTGTCACTGAAGGCAACTTCTGAATGTACTCCTTGTTTTCTCAACAAGTACTGTCATTTGAAGATGAATGGAAGCAATAGTGCAGGATCTCTTGACATAAGTCTTTGATTAGTCACTCTTCAGTTTATAGTCATGTATTCATGTAAGAAAAAGGAAAAGTACATTTTATTCTCAGCAGAGACTGACGCACTAAAATCTGCAAGATTTCTGTTTATAATGCTCGCTCTACTGTCATTCAATTAAAAAGATCTGGTATTGCTTCCAAGTTCTGACTAACATGAAAATGTATTGATCAAACTATAATATATATAATATTGCTTAGAGCTGGAAGTGAGATAATATTTTAATTGCCCAGGGAATTTTTTTGCTATATAATCTTAATCAGTCTGTAGCATGTATGTCCTTAGCCAGACTTGCTTTTTACTGCTGCAACCATTGGCAGCTAATTAACAGAAGAACAAGTTGAGAGCATTATCAACTTAAACAAACCTGTATTTTGTACCATTTACTGCAAAATAACAGTTTTTTCTGGTCAAGTCAGTTTTATTTATTTATTTTTAATTGAAAAGTTAAAAATTGTAGACGTATGTTTTATTATCAGTGAATACTAGGCATTCTCCCATGGGTCAGAGAATGCCTAGTTTTCTTTGATAAAAATATCAGACGTTCACTGAATGGCTGCTGTGCAGAGAAAGTGACCCTCTGCTTTCACAAAAAAATGTAGTAGCACCAGCTTATGGCTTACAGGGTTCCTGTGGCCCTACCAGGTATAAATATGTATACTTACGTTGGGTCAAGCTGGAGCAATGTACGTATACAGAAATATTTATTCCTGGAGTTTGGCTCTAGGGACCTTTCCAGACTCCCATTTGACAGTGCAGCACCCTGGCAATCAGCTTCAGAAGCCTGAAGTATAAAACAATAACACTAAAGAAAATCATATAGATATTATAAGAACAGTATATGCAATCAATTATATTTAAAAACATTTCTACTTACCTTGCATGCCATATTTATCAGACGGAACAGTCACACTTAAAGTGTATTTGCACTTTTGCAGTCAAATTTGAGAATGCCCCTCTATATGTTTGTTGTTTGTATCTACTCACAAGCGTTACCAAAACTACTTTGCAACAAAATATTTCTTACCTTCTTAGATGTTTTGTTGCAGTAGACTGATTCCAGGTTTTGCGGAGCACCTTCACAGTGATCTGCCCTAGTAGAAAGACTTGGGACTAAAATTTGAGGATTGTGTTTCTCTCATTAACTTCATTAACATACAATGGAGAAGTCTACTCACCCCTCACAGCCCATCCTAACTTTACAAAAGAAAGGGAAGCAAGCATAAATATTAACCATTAAGAAGCCAAGAACCCCTAACCCAAGTAAAAGCAATTTAAACTCCAAGAAGCCTTTATTTTCAATATTTTATTTAGCTTATGATATGTGAATGGAAACCTGTTACAAATATAACATATGTGTATTCCCAATTCGGCTGCTAAAGTGGAAATACACTTTAAATTAAATTTCTTTATTTGAAGGCTGCTTCTCATTTTACAACGTTTTCTTGGCTCAGCAGTTAACACATTTATGTTTTGTTACCAGATCCTCGTTGGAGCTCCATTTGGAAGCACTGTGAACAAGAAAATCCCTGACAAGGAGTTTCCATCAGCACAAGACCTAAACACGATCTGGTCACTTGGGGCAAGGATCTCATTGTTATGTTTATCTGATAATCCATTTGGTAACACATATACACAACATGCTCCTAGCTAAACATGCTCTTTAAAGGCCATGTGATGTGGCCTCTTCAGGCCCGAGTCATCCTGAGGGTCTTCAGTTGAGGAGGAACTAACTCATCAATTCGGCTATTCCCTATTCACACCATATATGTATGGTGTGAATAGGGAACGTAGAAAACAGTTATTTTCATATGCGCCCTATTCACACCACACATGTGCGGTGGTGTGCAGAAAAACACAGCTCGATGGACATGGTGTGAACAAGGCAGGGTTCACGGGCATGGCCCTCCTTACCATCTTGTCTTGAATTGTATTGTGATTGTAATGTCTACCTTATATTGTAAAGCGATGCACAAACTGTTGGCGCTTTATAAATCCTGTATAAAAATAATAACAAGCCCTTAATTTTTTAGGCTAATGACCTGTCATCTTTATCCTGGATATACCTGGAAAAATCAAGCAACCAATAAATGTTAAGAAGCTAGAACGCTCACCATGTATGCTTGTTTTAGGTCAATGGCACAGCACATAGTAAACCCAGGAAAGCGATGAGTACCCCAGAGCCTGTAACTTAAAAATACAAATTAGCTACGGCAGTACCCATATTTCTTTCTGCACATGTTCTCTTTAAGGAGATATTAATAGCTGCTTGGAGAAATGTCAGTTTTCTGTTTTTCTCTTCTCTGATAGGGATCTGTGTATTTTCTAGGGCTATCTCCAATACTCTGTACTATTTTATGGCTACTATGGAAGAGAAAGGAAAATCGGACGTGCCGGATATCGTCTACCCCTGGCATACTTTCTTGTTGGAATGGCAGTCTTTGCCTACAGTTTCATCACACTGTTGAGAAAGTAATATAACATATCATCTCTATTAAGTGCATATGATATTTCCATAAAATGGCATCTGAATATACAGTGCAGATTATTTTCACTGTCTGAATTATTGTTAATTATTAAATGAAAGAACTGCCTATTAGTACACCAAGTGCCACATACTTTGGTCAAGCTGCCATTTTGACTATAGGGGTCTATTCACTAAGCTGCCGTAGGCAGCCGAGTGAAAGACCAACACTTCAGGTTTGTACGGCTGATTTCAGCCGTATATCGGCTGATTTCAGCTGTATAATTTATTAGATTTAGATTTATTTGAAGTGTCGTATGGTTCTCGACTCCATGGCCCATCTTTCTTCCCATTATACTCTATGGCCATTCTTGTTGTCATTCCCCCTTGTCATTCCATAGAAAACAGGAAAAATCCAAAGTTATTTCAATTGTAAATTATGTTACTATACACGGGGAAAATCTGTGGTAAAGGATAAGTTGATATCTTTTTCAGATTTGCCTACAAATTATCTGATACTATGCTTCCCATTATACTCTATGGGCATTCATTATAGTCTATGGGCATTCTTGGTGTCATTCACACTTGTCATTCCATAGAAAATAATGATAATCCCACCTAATCTCAATTTAGAACGTTGCTAATGTGCTTGGAGAGTATGCCTGCTAAAGATTTATTTGATGTGTCATATGGTTCTCGACTCCAAGGCCCATCTTTCTTCCCATTATACTCTATGGGCATTCTTGGTGTAATTCCCCCTTGTCATTCCATAGAAAACAGGAAAAATCCAAAGTTATTATATTGTAAAAGATGTTACTATACACGGGGAAGATCTGTGGTAAAGGATAAGTTGATATCTTTTTCAGATTTGCCTACAAAATATCTGATACTATGCTTCCCATTATACTCTATGGGCATTCCGTTTGGCTTCATTATAGTCTATGGGCATTCTCTTCCCCTGTCAAAGTCTATGGGCATTCCATTCTGTCATTCCTTTTAGTAGGCCCCTAACATGATTGATAGAATTACAATGCATGATAGTAGAAAGCCATGATTAGACATAATTACCATGGGTTTTTTTTCTTGGTGGGGGCCCGGGGGGGGCCCAAGAAAATGTTTGCCCAGGGTCCGATCAATATTAAAGACGGGCCTGATAGGATGTACTCATTGCAGTAAGTTATTAGGGATATTAGGATTTGTCCTGGAGTTCTCCTGCACTATTAGGCATTTACAGTATATAGTTGTACATCTGACCAATTAATCTTAATACACTTACATTTACAATAGGAGGTAGTAGAATATAAGCACATAACACCAACTATAGATGTTATTTATAAAGGGTGACCATACACCAGGGGTAGGCAACCTTGGCACCCCATATCTGGTGAAACTACAAGAGCCATTGCAAGACAGACAGTCAAGGGCATGACTCCCAGAGGCAGAAGCATAATGGGATTTAGAGTTTCACCACAGCTAGGGAGATTAAATAACTCGGATGATACTGGCCGGGATAATGATCCCAGCTGGCTCCTAGCCCGGTCCCTTCAGCCTCGTTCCCCCTCTGCTTCACCAGACTAAGGTTCAGTAAGTCATCATGTTTCATACATTGTAAAGGATGTGAGGACGCTGAGGGAAATTCCATCGCTGGTGTGAAGGATGAGACAAGTTACAGGAACCGGCCCAACAGCCAGCCAGGATCGTGGTTCGGGTGAGTATAACTCTGTTATTTTAGCTTCCTACACAAAATGAGCACTTAACCCTTGCAGTGCATGGGTAGCCCCACTGAAAAGGTTAAGATTTTATTTGCCTGGGGTTCTTCTTTAAATGGAAGTTCAAAGCCAGCTGGATACATATGCATGGTGCAACTCTTGTGTTCTTGTCTGAAGTCTGTCTTTTTTATTTTATTTTGTAAACATTAGGAAGGGTGTGAGGGTCCAGAGGAGGAATCATGTTCCTCATTTTAGTTTCATTGGAGAATATATCTTTGTAGTGATAAGTGAAAATACACTGCCCGTACTATGTGAGAAGATACAATGTAGCTGTGCTCTTTTTACATGATGATTTATGTTTTACATTTTTCTTTTGTTTACAATAAATGCAACCTCGTTGCGCAAAAAAAAACTTGGATCACCTTTTCAAGAATGGCAAGGAACTCTAGGCTGAGCTTGGCAAGTGCATCGGATGAGAACTATACATTCTGTTGGAGAATCTTTTGTGCATGGGATTTTCTCATTGGGAATACAGAAGCTGCTGAGAGTAAAACTGCTGCCATCGTTAACAGCATAAGAGTAAGTACGTTGTTGGCATAAAACAGTTACTTTTTCAGTACACATTAATTATTTTCTAGTGTTTACAATTATAATAACACTGCCAATGGTAACGTGCTTAATACTTACTGATTTTTCACGTAATGTTCAAACATAATTTTAATATTCACTCAAGAAAGCCACATGCTTATTTCATAGTAAGCCTGACCTAAACATATTCTCAATAGAAGCGCCAAATAAGAAAAATAAAACGTACATTAACATAATTGCATACATTTCCAGTGTGTGTATATATGTGTAAACACTTCAGGCTGGTACGGCTGATTTCAGCCGTGCAACGGCTGAAATCAGCCGTACATCGGCCTGCTTCGTGTGGCTTACTTTGGCTGAAATGTTAGGCGGCAGTGCAGGAGTGCAAAAAGTGTTTGCTAACAATAGAGTTATTTTACTAAAGGGAAATAGATTGTTTACTTTGCATGGGAATTTCGCTTTGCATGGGAATTTCACTTTGCAGGGGAATGTTCACTTTGCTTAGTGAATGTGGTGAAAATTAATTTTGCAAAAAATACCCAATCACGGGCAAGGAAAATTTAAAAGAAAACTATATTTTTGCTTGCTCAAGATTGGTTGATAGAAATTAGCTAATTCACTAAGCTAAGGCAAAATCCCTTGCAAAGTGAACAGCCTATTTGCCCTTAGTAAATCAAACCCAATCTTTATTTTGAGCTGCCTCTTGCGCATGAAGGGATGTCCCCACTTTCTAAAGTAATGGGATGCCTGTTAGCCTTTGTAGAAACCTGAACAGACATAATCTTAGATGCGAGAACATGTGGTTTCCAGGGACTATGAACTGGAGTTCCTCTCTCTGCCCCCTCCTTGGCTTATGTCTTCAAACCTATCTGTGTTACCTCACAGATTAGCAGATCTCCATACAAGATCTTCTGAATCAAGAGGTTATCTAACCCTTTCACAGTTCCCAAACCAAAAGGGGATGCCCACCCCATATTAGTTATTAAGGCACTAAATGTCTTTATTCGGGTCCAAAGCTTCAGCATGAAATCCATCAGGTCTTCAATAGCCTCCCTCTATCAGTGAGACTTTCTGGTCTCTGTGGACATCAAGGATGCATGCTTCCACGTTCACATCTGTCAAGTGCACCAGCACTTTTTTTTGCTTTGTTGTGGGTGTCCAGTACACCCTGTGTGTGTCCCTGCTATTCGGTCTATCATCTCCCTTCAAGTGTTTACCAAGGTTCTGGTCCCTGTACTAGCCTTGTTACAGTCCCCGGGTATTCCCATTGTGGGATATTTGGACTACCTCCTGTGAGGGAGCAGTTGGCACAGGTTCTGGCTGACATGTGACAATTCAGTCCTGAAAAGGCCCGGTTGGATCCTGAACCTCTAATCCCTTGAAAATATTTGGCACTTATCCTAGTCATAGCTAATGTCCCAACTGTTCAGTCCAGAGGTTGCACGACTCTTTGCTTCTGCATGAGGGTGCTGGGGCTGATGGTATCCTCATTTAAGGCAGTCCCATGTAGAACACTACAACTCAACATCGTGTCATCGCTGGACAAATCAGTGCAAACCGATTCACCTAACATCAAGGACCAGGTTCTGCAGTTGGAAAAATCCTTTCTTCTGATCTCTTGGAAGATCTTCACAATAGATGCCAGCCTGACAAGCAAGGGAGGAGTGCTAGACACTTTGTTAGTGTAGGGAACTTATAAGACAGACAAATCCCAATGATATTGAGCTCTGAGTGATTTGGTTTTCCCTACAATGCTGGACATCTCAATTGAAGGGTCATCTGATCAGTATCCTGTCTGGCAACGCCACATTGGTAGCACACATCAACCATCAGGGAGGAACCTAATTTTGGCTGTCTTAGTACTTCAAGTACCACCTTTTGGAAGGATATTCCCCATTCCACTAAAGGTTGCTTTCCTTGTCATAATCACCTCTGTGAGGTGTGTGTCTGAGCTGATGACTTGTGTCCACTGAAGAACTGTTTTTGAGTTTTTGGTTTCACATAAGGACAAGGTGGTCACGAGGTGGAAGGGGTTAAACTGGTCACTGTTCTTTTTTTTTTTTCCAATTGCCAATCCACCTGTAGGTGGTAGATGGCAGTGTCCAACAAAAATATTTAGTTTTTTCATTCATACTTCTAGTTTTATAGCATCAGGCTATTCAAAATGGGAACTTATCACATATTGTTTCCTTTCTTGGGGGACTGAATTCTGTGTCTTCACAAAGATTACAAAATGTTTTTAGGTACCTGTAAGCTGCCATCCACATGCCAATGAGCCTTCATCTCTTGATGGATTTGATGGATACATTGAAAGCTGGGATGAGCATAATAGAATAAACTATACAGTGAATACACGATACAACATTTATTATTTTGCTGCTGAGATTAACTTTATCAATTTTGTTGGAAAAGTGGATTATTGAAGCATTTCAGAAATACCACTGCTACTGCTCGAATTGCATTGCCAGTTATCCCCTTGCATGGGCACATGAAAAAAAAAGGCATAGCTGTCCAGGGAATAATTTCCATGTGCTGGCTCCCACTACTGTACATAATAGGCAGCTGTTCTATAATACTGTAGCTTTATGGAAACAGCAGATGTTCATCCAGGGGCCTAAGCTGGCATGTAATAACACTGGCTGTTATAATTATGTTGGTCTGCAGACCAGAGCTATTGTAAAGTGATTTCCCTTATTTCCTTTTAATTTCTGTTTTTAATAAAGGAAGCCATTTTAGAAGAACAGGAGAAAAGAAAAAGCAAGAATTTGTACGTACTATTTCTGTTTCGTTCTATGCATGCCTGCTTTTTTTATTGCTTCTATAAAATAGGATTCCCCAGAGCTCTTCGCAGAATAATTTTATGATTTTCGATGTTTTTCCCCCTGGACTAATTTAAGTACATTTGTAAATTTACAGGTATCTAGTTGTTACATTTTCATTCCACCAACATATGGCCTTGCAAGGTGTTCAGCTATTGGAACATTAAGATATAGCTCAAGTGTTTCTTGCATTTGAAAATCTAATTAACCCAGCTTTACATCTGTCATACATTAAAATACATGGTACACTATAGGATGTTTTAAGTCTTCATATGAAGAAGAGATTTTGCCAACTGTTTTGCAGTTGTATGCAATTATAAAATACTAGACAACTGTGCCACTTAAAGCTGAACTCCAGCCAAAACTGTTTTTTTTTTAGTATTTGGATAAAGTGAGAAAAACTTAGAGCTTCTGTCAGTCATTATTATTGTCTGTCTCCTTATTTATGAGACTTCCTCTCATTTTCGGTTTTGGTGACCTTACAGGACGTGAGGACAAGCAATCTGCCTAATAGGGTTATAAATAGTAATAAAACCATGACAGAAGTTCTACCTTTTCCCCCACTTAATCCAAAGTTGAAGATAAATCTTTAGCTGGAGTTGACCTTTAAACAGAACATTACAACTGGTTAACTGTAAAAGTATTTTATTTTGTTTTAAATTATGCTCACAAACTGCCGAAATTGTGTGTAAAGCAACTCTGTCAATAAGATAACATTTTGAAACAGGTATACCTGCAAAAGTAGATTAGATAATTACCGTTCCCTCTGTCCGTGCAGCCATTGCAATACTCCACTGAAGTCTACTAGAAAACTAGTAGTGTCAATCTCCTTGGTTCTGCACTGCACTCAGTGCTTACTAACACCATCCTCCAATCCACTATTGTGTCCTGTTTGGCTTCCCAGTAGACTTTGGCAGAGGATTCCTCTTGAACAAAATGGCATTCTGGTGGCATGGACAGTAATGGTAAGTATTCACTCTCTTCTTTGCAGGTACACCCGTTACAGGTTTGTTACAGGTTTTTGTTTTTAATAACAGGACAATTAGTTTTGCCTTGGCAATTTTTAGCAATAGTGTTAAAGCTTATCTAAACCCAAGATGAAAAAATTTAATATAATGCAGCTGACCACTTTTTACATTTTCTGCAATTACAGAAGAATGCCAGTTGATCTAGTGTCCTTGTAACAGAAGTGCACAGAACTTAAATCTCAATGTTATCTGTCTCCCTAACTATGTTTTGTGGACTACAGAACACCTCAACTTACTGTATGTTATATACAAGAGGGAGAGGTGTTCTGTACTCCTAACACACTTTCTTTTCCAGGGTAACAATGTTGCTTCTCTATAGCTCTATAGCTAGAAGCTCTATCTTCTCTATAGCAGCGTTTCTCAACTTTTTTTAAGTTACAGCACTCTTTAAAAGTGTGCAAAATCTAGAGGCAAGTCAAAGATTTTAACGGGGATCCCACGCAAAAACACCCAAAAAAGGGGTTTCCCCATTCACATCAAAGGTCCCCCTTCAAATCAAGACTTCCGCCCTCCTTTTACATCAGAGTCACCCTTTGCATCAGTAGCCCCCCTTTCACATCAGAAGTCCCACTTTCATATCAGAGTCCCCCCTTTCACATCAGAGTTCTCTCTTTACATCAGGAGCCCCTAGACCTCAGTCTTCATTCTCACTTCACAACACAGTCCCACTACCACAAAATTTTGAGGCACCCCTGAGGAGGCCAGGAGGCACAGTGGTTTGCCATGGCACCCTGGCTGAGAAAGGCTGCTCTATAGATACAGTACAATGAGTGAGTGTTGTCACCCTAGTACAGGAAGTGTGTTACTGCTTTAACCTAGGGTCTTTAAACACATTCCCAGCTGCTATAGTGTGTTTACCCTTCTCCAGCTGACTGCCTGACTGCGGGCCCAGGATAGGTAGGTAAAGCGGAGGAAGGTCAGGAAGCATACGTTCACTGATCTCCCCTCTGGTGAATAAACGCACAAGCAATGAGCATTTAGTAATTTTCCCGGTTTCAGCACCATGATTGCCTGGCCACGGTGGCTGGGGACTAAGCTAATCAAGCATAATCTGTTCTAGATTAACTTCAATGGAGTGCATTGGAAGACCTTAGAGGGCCTATCACCCCCTATGAGATAGCAATAAAGTTAAGTAAAAAAAGTAAAAAAATAAAAGTTAAATAAAATCAATGAAAATAAAAATGTACTGGAGAGAACTTATAACTCAGTATATAAAACACCATCATAGAAATGGGGAACAGTAAGCAAGTAAAATATAACAGGTATATAACAAATATTTATTAGTGGCATTTATGGTTATTCTTTACATTGTGTACTCACTTAAAATATAAGGTAGATAACATTATAGTAATTTTCCCTCAGCATCCTCTTCACGTGTCAGTAATCTACATGTGACCTTCTGAGTCTGAAAAAAATTAAAATCTGTGAAGAAACAGGTCTATATTACCTTCAAGTGTGAATCACGATACCCCAAGTTCATAATGCTAAGAAAACCTCTTTGCTCGGATTTGTAAACATAAGCCGCACTGAGTCCATCATTAAAGCTTATAAATTGTTGGTACATCGAAAATCAGCGTGTAAATTGGTGATAAGAAACAAAATTGCTGTAACAGAGTGTACTCCCGACTACCTCTGACACTTGTGTCTATTTTTCAGGGCAGTTACAATATGTCTGAGAATTCTAGCAAACATTTTAGTTCTGCTCTCGCTGGCAGGAAGCATTTATATTATCTATTTTGTGGTGGACAGATCACAGAAACTCGAACGCACAAAAATAGAACTAACCCTATGGGAAAAAAATGAGGTAAATACGTTTCTATTCCTAACTGCGTTTATGGTAAATGTCTCCATTTGCACACTCACCATATGTACATGTGTATTCAGAGTCATTTGTCAAATAAGATAAGGGGAGAGAATGTATCTGTGATACCATAGGTAAGGGTCTTAGGTAGCATCTCCAGTATGCGTTAAAATCAGAGGTTTTAGTTGCACAAACTTTTGGCCAAAAATATGTAGAAGCCACACTGCCGCGCCAAGGCACCTCTGCAAAGTGTGGTCCTAACTCTATGTATTTGTGTGCTTTGTATTGTTGTAAGCCTTCCCAATGTGTGCCCTGCTATAAAGGCTGGTTATAGATTGATGCATGTACCATTTTTTCTAGTCTCCCCTGTGTCAACAGACTCTTGTACACTTCAGATTTTGCATTCCTATACATGTCCATGGAAATGCAAAACAAGCTTGAAGCAGGATCAAAAGCATGCAATCAGATCTAATACTTTGAGGACCTCAAATATTGATTGGAAAGGCACACATGTTTTTTTTTACTCACAGGCTGCCATCTCTGATGTAGGATACATGCCACCAAATGGTCAGATTGTAAAGGCCTGTGTTTATTGGCTTTTTGTACGCATGGGTTTTGCATTCCCATACAAGACCCATTCAGTGACTACAGTCATTTGAATGAGTCAAGTGCAGGTCGGAAATAGGTCAACTGCAGCTTCAAAGAATTCGAAATTCTCAGAAGCATCTCAAAATGATGTCAAACTGATGCCATCAACACAAGCCCAGAGCTGTCCACACAGGTCCTAACTGACACTAGGGGCTAATTTACTAATGTACTACCGTCTGCTCAATTAAATGTGTGTTAATAAGGAAAAGCTGTGTTCATTTTGAAGAAAAACTCTGGACATATGCAATCTTAGCCATTGCAGTGGGGCTACCCCATGCACTGCAAGGGTTAAATGCACGTTTTGTTGAGGGAGCTAAAATAACAAAGTTATACCACGATCATGGCTGGCTCTTAGACTGGTCCATGCAGCCTGTCCCCTCCTCCACTCCAGCAATGGACTGTCCCTTGGCGTCCTCATGTCCAATACACTGTATTGGATGTGACGACTCACAGGTTCTTAGACCACCGGAGTGAAGGGGAAGAGAGGCTGCAGGGACCAGTCTAGCAGACAGACAGGTCCAAGTTTCAGTTATGTACTTCTTTATTTTAGAACCTAGACAAAACAAGCACTTAACCCTCGCAGTAGGGGGGGTTGAAATTTCATATTGGAGTTCTTTTTTAAAATACCAAGTCATATAAGGGGGAAATGTAAAAAAAAAATAAAAAATTGTTTGCATCATTAGTTGAAGTGAACATTGCTTCACCCTTTTTGCTAAGCTCATAAACTTCAAAGATATTAGTCCAGGCCATTTTTCAGTATTCAGCGCTGCGGTACTTTGATTGACATTCATTCAATCATGCAACTTCATACTGAAATGAATGTTATACCATTTTTTGGGGACACATAGAACTTTCTTTTGGTGCCATTTAATCACCACTAGGTTTTTTATTTTTTACTATATAAAAAAAAGTACCGCACATTTTGAAAATAAAACCTGTTTTTCCTACATTATGTTATAAAACATTTATTATTACCCAATTTTTTGGTAAAATATAAAAGACGGGGTCACGTTCATTAAATAGACACCATGTGAAGCATTCAAATTTCACGAGCCCGGGAAATCGCAAACAAACTACCATACCCCAAATTGGCCATAGGCGACGCTTTAAAAGCTTCTACTGCTTATCAGTTCAGTGTTATCAGTGATTGATGGCCCTAAAATTATTGCTCTCATTCTGACATTCGCAGTGATATGTAACATGTGCGGCGTAATGGGCACAATCGTTGTTTTCGCACATAGGCACTTTTTGTATTCTTCTTCATTCAAGAAGAGCCGCACTCAATATTTCCTCCGTATGTAAATCCAAACTTTATTTTAGTCCATAAAACGGCATACACCACATAAACCTCCCCATAGTGAGAGAAACATATCCAAAACTAAAAAGAAAAATCTGGAGATGGGCTTCAGTCCAAGAATAATTAATCCAATCATGTACAGGCAAAAAATCCATATTTTTTTAGAATTTCTCTGACACGTAATTGTTACCTAGTGACCAGGGGACGCTGAACTGTCATGAGAGCTTGTCGGAGCCCGCGATGATATCAAAGCTGGCTCTGCTAAGCTCTCATCGTAATGACAGAACAGCGTCCCTGGTTACCCAGTAACCAGGGACGCTGTTCTGTCATTACATTGAGAGCTTAATGGAGCCGGCTTTGATATTGCCGCCGGCTCCAACAAGCTCTCATTGTTTCATGCGGCATTCGGCTATTCACTCACTGCTGTTCGGCATCTATGAGAATAGACCGACATCCTTCTGCACTTCCCACTTTAAGGGAAAAATTTAACAAACTATAAATATAAAGATATAAGTATACAAATGCTGTGTATTCATTTCTAGGTAAGCGTAGTGGTATCGCTAATAACCATGATTGCTCCATCGGCATTTGAGCTGGTAGCTGCCTTGGAAATGTATCATCCTAGAACAACATTACGCTTTCAGTTGGCAAGGTAGGTATTTGAAATACAGACAGCAGCAACCACCAGTCTACATATCTGTAGTGGAGAACAGTAACCAGTGTGATTTTTCTTTTCTTTAAGGGTCCTTGTATTGTACTTGGGGAACCTGTACAGTTTAATCATTGCACTGCTGGACAAAGTTAATAGCATGAGTATAAGTACACAGGTAACATGAAAGAAGGGTTAATGTACCTTTACACTCTACCGTATTAGCCTCAGAGTGAAAACTTTGTACATAAAGATGAATTAACTTAGGGAGATCTATAGGACCAGTCTATTTTTTCCTTTTAATAATACTAGCAGCAAAAGTGGGCCAGTTCTTTCAATAGGCTGAATATAGGAGTAGGTGTTACTGCAGTGGCAGAGAGCTGAGTAGCACTCATTGGTACAGTGGAGGCAAGTGCAGAGGCATGTGTCTGTGCAGCAGCAGCAAGTACAGAGGTGGGTGTTGGTGCAGTGGCAAATTAAGTGACGGTTAAAGGGAGAGATGGGGAGGATGGGGGTCAGGTGCAGTGGTGAGAGTGGGTGTTGATGTGCAGGTCTGGTTAGAGGGGTCAGCTGTGGTAGTGAGAGTGTGGAAGGTGGCATGGTGAGAAGGGGAGTTCAGACACATGAATCATGGGGGGTGGGGGGTGCTGGTGCCTTGGTAGTGAAGGAGCTGGTTGCAGGCATGGTAGTGAGTTATGCTAAGTGGTAGCAGAAGGCAGGGGGTAGAGAGGTGGTGCAGGCTTACAAAGCCAGAAATAAGAAGGTCATATCCCATTGCAAATCAGCCTCGCCAACTGCAGAGACCACTCTGGTTGTGCTTCCCACTGGGTATGGCTGTTGTGGATGGCACTGGTCTACCTTTAAACATCACTTGTGTAGTAGCGACACAATGTTGTTACCTTCCTGACACCACTGCACATGTGCCAGACTTTAGTACATTTTTGGCCAAACATTGACTGCAGCCAAGCAGTGGCAGTCACTGTTTAGCTATTCTGGCAACAGCAGCTGCCGGCTGTCAGACTACTGTAGCCTGGTGGGGGAGATCCATCCATGCATACTGTTTAGAGTAGATGGAGGAATTCGTTTGACAGAAATCTATTAGTGTATGGGTAGCTAAACAAAAGGATCAAGTAAATCAAGTAAAAGAAAGCAAAAGTTGAGTGCTAGTATAATTTGTCAGGGTGAGAAAATATGAGTTCAAATGCATGCTTTGAAAAACTGATCTTGATTGGTTGCTTTAAGCAATAGCACCCCTCCAGTTTTCACAAATCAAGCCTTGCATTTTGTACTGTGATATGAATATTCTTTAACATATGCAACAATGTGTTTCAGAACCGTAGCAATGATACCTTCATGAATGCAGCCCCACTATTTGCCACAACAGTCCCTGTATTATCTACAACCAGGGCTGCTTATGGAATGGAAAGAAATTTCACTTTTGCAATAGAGATGGACCAGAACATTACAAGAATCATGGCTGTCATGAACCAGACATCATCCCCTGTTATGTCTGAGTTTCCAATGCAGAAAACTGAGTGCTGGGAAACGTACGTTGGACAGGTGAGATAACAGTACAATTGCAATTGTTTTGCTTTTGAATGAGGAAGGATTTAAACCTTAGGTGAGTTTTTCTGCTATCCAAGGCTCTGTTAAAGAGATTTCCTTAACTTCCTGTCCATGTGATAATGGTTTCACCAGACAGGAAGTGAGGGATAATTGCCAACAGAAAACACACAGAAATAAAATACTTTTTATTCATAATGTAGGGGAACTGCTGTCAAATTTTTATTGAAGTCTGTGTCCCTTTTGGAGTTTTCTCAGTTCCTGTCTGGTGAAACTGTTGTCACTGTGGCAGTAAAGACCCATTTACACCACAACGCACTTGCACCACTAAAACCCATTTACACCACAACGCTGTGCACTGCTACGGATAGGTTGTTGATGGTTGACGACAAAATGAATGGGCAGAAAAGCACAGCAAGGCATGTGAAAAGGGGGCAGGCTGCATTTTATTTCATTCTAAAGCACAGGGCATCGTGTGTTGAACAGAGGTGCTGCTCGCAATCATTTTAGAGGTTCATTGGGGGTACCATTCACAATAAATGGCACCGCAGAGCATCAACACATGCAACCACAATAATATATATTTGTGTATCACTCAGCTTTAGATCCTCAAATCATCTTTAAATTCATGCCAACACTGTCCTTCTGTAGGATGGCTACTTTTGTTCCCCATGGTCCCTGTGTGTGTTGTTAAGCAGACACCGCTCCAAGCTCACTCCTGTGATGGACTCCAAGCTCAATACAAATTAGGAACTACACCTAATCCATGACGGGAGCAAGCTTGGAGAGGTGGCTACTTTACAACACACATGGGGTTTCAATCTGCCAGTAAATTGGCTGTCAACCGCACTTTGAAAAGTGATCCACCGCAGATGGCCTTTCAGAGGGTGACACGCACGTAAAGAGGTCTTTGATGACGTTTTTACCAATGACTAACAGCTTCAGTGCATGTTAGACAACATTGCCCTAGACTGAGATGAAAAGAAATTCTCCAATTCACAGAATTGTCCGACTGTTATATGCTATTCACAACATAGACGGGTCTATTCACTAAGCTGTCGTAGGCAGCCGAGTGAATAACCGAACCGAAGTGAGCCGAACGCTGTTCGGGTATTCACTTCAGGCTTGTACGGCTGATTTCAGCCGTATATCGGCTTGCTTCGTGTGGCTTCGGGTCAGCGTAACATGCTAGGGGGTCCTAGCAGTGACAGCTAGCTCTGCCTAACTGTTTTCTATTGGCAGGGCGGATGGAGAACTTCAGGTTCCCTCTGCTGATTGACAGCAGCAGTGGGCAGGTGCAATAGCTAGTTTGCTATTGCAAATTGAAATAGCCAATAGGAATGTAGCTATGCATTCCTATGGTGTTTTTTTTTTAATTATTATTCTGAAGTCAGCCAACGGCTCCGATGTCAGAAAAAAAAAAAAAGGAAACAGAGCAGGGAAAGGTTTACTTTGCTCGATGGAGCAGAGTAAAACTTTCCGGGAAAAAGTGTTTCTCTAACAGCGGGAGACTCCCGGAGCGTCCGGGAGAGTTGGGTTATCTGGAGATCAGCGTCCCTGGTTACCTGCTAACCAGGGACGCTGATCTGTCTGTGCAAGTGGCCGGAGCCAGCTGTGAGATGACAACTGGCTCCGCCCAGCAGTCAGTAGCAGGCTGTTGGCCGGCTGTTCAGCCAGCCTCAGTCTAGCCGAAGCATATGCCTTCAGCTCGACTAAGCTGATCGGCCGACTTTGGGAGCTGTACGGGCTATAGTGAATAGCCCGTACAGCAGCCCTTCAGTTCTACTGAACCGAAGGGGTCCTGGGGCGAAGCTAGCCGAAGGATCAGCGAAGCTACGGCTAGATCCTTCGGCAGTTTAGTGAATAGACCCAGAATATTTGTCTATGAGTTTGGGGTTTTAGGACCTTCTAGATGCCAGTATATTTAAGGCTGTGCATATGGAATTTTTATCTCTATTGTAGAGTTACAGAATCTTTAAGCATTTAAGGAGGAACTCCACCTAGAACTGAAACATTTGGAGCTTTATAGGTTTTTGTTAGTTAAACTGGTCAGCATAATTTACTTACCTTAGCTGTCCTTGTGAAATGATCTTTTGGACATGCTAGCATTCACACTGCCTGATGATTATTGTGTAAGTCCATAGTACCCTGTCCCTGATTTCTCTACTGAGAAGATCTAGAATTGGTTATGTGACTTTAAATTATCAAGAAAAAGTAGAAGTGGTCCAGCAGTAGACAGATGGAGCTCTGCAAGAGCTCACCTGTAATTATTATTATAATTATTATTATTCTTAAGTGGCATCAAGTAGATTTCGACTCCTGGTGACCACATAGATAGTGTGCTTGCAATATGATCAGCACATAATAAGTCTTCTGAATGGGATAATGGTCACAAACTATAGCGACATTTCGGAGCATAAAGTTGCCCCTTCCTTAGGCAACAGTGAGGACAATGTTAGGGAAGGGGCTGTTTTTTGCTTCAATTGATTAAATTATTACATTTATTCCAGACTCGTGATGTGCTGATGATATTGCAATGAAACTGTTGCAGTGATCTTAGATCATGACAGTACTCATTTCTTTGGGCTTTAGAACTGTATGGAGTGCACCACATGCCTCACTTGTGCACATGGACAGTGTTTCTCCAGAATGATCTGTCTTCTTTTTAGGTCTAGGTCATTTAAAGCCCAATTCCAGCCAATTTATTATATTGTTTTAGGATCTATTATTTTATTAATTTTTTTATCTTTATTTTAATTTTCAGTAATGAGAATGACATACAAGAAAAGCAAGATAAACACACAGTATGTTATGTTACAATTGAACCAGACATGAAGTACAAATATCCTCACATTACGGTAGATAAAGGGGGTAGATGACATACATCGTCTCCCGCATCACTTGTTCCAGTAACGGCCAGCAGAATAGTTAAATGTAAGATTTATAAAACTTCCGGATCAGACACTGTATCAGCTGAGCCCATGTGCAGGCCGCTCATTGTTACCCAACCCATTTCCAGTGAGGTCAAGAGGGGGAGGGAGCATAAAAGGAAGAAGCAGGTCAAGTGGGATGGTAGAGTATGGAAGAATGAATGTGCGAGAATACCAGAGAAGCAGGCGCATCAGGGGAAGATGCGATAGCAGGATGCGAACGCCAGGTTACTCAGAGAGCAGAGAGAGAAACTCTGTAGAATGTACGAACTCTGTCCAAATAAACCAGGTTTTGCCGAACTTCTCCCCCCTATGCTGGAGGTCTGCAGTCAACTCTTCTAGGATATGCATCTCGTCAACCTTTCGCAGCCACATTTGGAGAGGTGGCGAGTCTGAACGTTTCCAGTAGAGGGGAATGCATGCTCTGGCCGCATTGACTAAATGGATCGGTAAGGAATTGCGGTATTTAGACTTGGATAGTGGCGCAAGATGTAGAAGCAGCGCTGCTGGGTCACCTGCTAGGGAGATGCCTGACAAACGCTTAATCACTGGCAGGACTGCGTTCCAAAACTGTCTGAAGGATCTTTTATTTAAGAGAGATAAGATAGACAGACAGATAGATAGATAGATAGATAGATAGATAGATAGATAGATAGATAGATAGATAGAGCCTCTTTATGGTTTCTTTTGATGTCTGCAGACCTTTTGGGGAGATATCCCACTTATTTTTTATCAGAAAATGGAACTATGGTAACTGGGACACAGACTGAAAAACAAAAACAAATTTTTAATGGGGAAGGGCTAGAACGTCTGACAATGCTTGCCCGTGCTTTCCTATCATTTAAACAACCACAGCAACCATTTGTTGCATGGGAAGATAGATAGATAGATAGATAGATAGAGCCTCTTTATGGTTTCTTTTGATGTCTGCAGACCTTTTGGGGAGATATCCCACTTATTTTTTATCAGAAAATGGAACTATGGTAACTGGGACACAGACTGAAAAACAAAAACAAATTTTTAATGGGGAAGGGCTAGAACGTCTGACAATGCTTGCCCGTGCTTTCCTATCATTTAAACAACCACAGCAACCATTTGTTGCATGGGTGCCACAGGAAAAGAAAGTGAGAGAAAAATGTCTCTATCCTGAACTTAGTTGTGCTTTTAAAAAAGGAAGTCACTGTGCTAAAACTAGTGGGTTTCATCATTGTAAAATCCCTTTTCAGGAGATGCTGAAACTTTCCATAATTGATATGATTTTCACAGTGGCAAGTATCCTCCTTATTGACTTCTTCCGTGGCCTTTTAGTCCGATATATGAGTGATTGCTGCTGCTGGGATCTAGAAAGCAAATTTGTGAGTATATGACAAACATATATTTTTTTTTGCTTATTCATTGTGGCAGATTTAATAAATAGCCTCCATTATATCCACATGTTGCTTCAGCCATCAATTTTTTTCCATAACCCTATCAATGCAGTTACACTTCATTTGATAATACAAAGTGGTTTCAGTGCTTCTACAGAAGACTTCAAGGTGATTTAAAGTGTAGCCATGACCACAATAGATGTCATGTCTTAGCCAAGGACAAGCCAGGTCATGGCTTGAGTTGCAGTGTATCATTTATTGTATAACATGGCCATAGGTGGCTTTAGCAGCATATCTCTAATCCTCTGTATTAGCAATCAGTCAAACCAGCCCAGGATAGTGACAGTGGGGGAAATCTTCTCTGATTCCATAAGTTGCAGTTAAATGATTTCCTTGGATCAAAACATTCCCATAAATCTATTGCTATTAGAGTTTAAACTCTGCACTAGTTCCATCTCCCAGACAAACAGTATCCTGAACATATATTATGCGGCTGCTAGAGCGGCAGAGTCTTTTGTAAGATTTCAGTGAGACTGCCTTGTCTCTCCATAATTGTTTAATATGCGTGAATGTGATGTTGTGTATGGAGATCATTTCTTCATTCCTGTCATCACTGCTGAGCATGGATGGCTATTAGATTATATTATATTTGGTTGTTTAACAAGACAATGAGATATAATGAAATTTGCCTGTTTGATGACTGCAGTTTAACCCCAACTGCATAATAATGTCTTCCCGTGTTAGTGTTAGACAGACCATTCAAAACTGCAATTTTGTGCATTAGTACTTATATTCAAACTTTTCAATCTTTAAATATCTTCAGCCAGAATACGGTGAATTCAAAATTGCTGAGAATGTTCTTCATCTGGTCTACAATCAAGGAATGATTTGGTGCGTATGTTTATATCGGGTCTGAACCTGTGCTTAGAAATGTACATTATCTTTAAGTGTGCTGGTTAGCCAACTTGAAGGTATTTATTTTTTAGTCCAAACCAATATTTGTCATATCAATTCTCTAGAACAGGAGTTCTTAATCTTTTTATGATTATGGACATCTAATGGATTGCTTGATATGTCCCCATACCCTCCTTGCCATATGGCTGATATTTTAATTATCATCAGCCCTTTTAGGCACCGGAATGACTTTAAAATATGTCAGTAGGTTGGATTTACTGTACATATGGATAGCTCAGAACAACTGAAAGATAATCATAAGGATTTTATTTTATGTATTGATATAAAAATGGCAAATTACAAATAAACACGTTACCTACAACTAATGTAGGTTTTGTTGTTTTTGTGTAAAAATAGAATGGTAGACTTGTGCGCCATCAAAAAATTAGTTCTGTTTCGTTTCGGAATATCCGTTATTTCGTATTTTGTAATTCGTGACTGAACTCAAATACGAATTTGTTAGTGGCGGTTATATTTTCGTAACTTTACGAACATTCGCTATGATGAAGCTAAAAAGCAAAATACGTTTGTTAATATTGGAGTGGTAGTTGTTTTTTTTATCCGAAATACGAATTCCGTTAACGGATTCCGTATCTGAATTTTGGATTTAAAAAAAAACTACCATCAACTCCAATATAAATGTACTTTGCTTTTTAACTTCAATATAAAACTAATGTTCGTAACGGAACGAAAATACGTCAAAGGAATTTCGTATTTACTGCTTGTATTCTAATGCAACTCTCAGCAGCAGAAGAGAACCTCTGATTGGTCAACCAAAACGAAATACGAATTCCGTTAACGAATTCCGTATCCGAATTTCGGATTTCGGATTTAAAAAAAAAATACCTTCAACTCCAATAGAAATGTACTTTGCTTTTTAACTTCAATATAAAACGAATGTTCATAACGGAACGAAAATACGTCAACGGAATTTCGTATTTACTGCCTGTATTGATTCTAATGCAACTCTCAGCAGCAGAAGAGAACCTCTGATTGGTCAACCAAAACGAAATACGAATTCCGTTAACGGATTCCGTATCCGAATTTCGGATTTCGGATTTAAAAAAAAATACCATCAACTCCAATATAAATGTACTTTGCTTTTTAACTTTAATATAACGAATGTTCTTAACGGAACGAAAATACGTCAACGGAATTTCGTATTTCCTGCCTGTGTGTGTAACTGTGTATTGTAATGCAACCCTCAGCAGCAGCGGATCCGGATCTCGGATTAAAAAAAAAAATCTTGTCATGTTGTTCAACCTCATTTACACTTTACAGGGGTAATATTAGTTCCTGTTTCAAAGAAATTCGAATCCGAAATTCGTTAACGGAATTTCGTATTTCGGATATAATTCGGAAACTGCCATTCGGATTTCGGATGCTCTGAAATTCGGAATTTCAGGAAAATTCGTACGAATTTCGATTCGCAACGAAACGAATCGCACATGTCTATAGAATGGAGGTGCAATTATTGACACTTACTTGCATGTCAAACAAATTATTCAAAGATCTAGGCCCATACCCTCCTCATTTGGTTACTGTATCTCCAAGAGTTATAGATATTCATGGGTAAGAACCCCTGCTCTAGAAACTAGTGCCAATACTTGCCTAAAAAATGTCCTTAACGTTAGAATTCCTGAAGGTGCATTTTGTCAGTAGCATCACTATTCCTAGTACGGTATATGTGTAAATTGCAGTTTCTAAAATATTGACCTAGTCCACAAAGTAGTTATTGTACATTCACATCCAGGGCCTAGGTTCATTTGTACCCAGCCAATATAAAAATTTTCACCACTGGCTATGTATTCTGTAATTGGTATACTAACCGTTAGGATATCTATTTAATGAAGTCCAGTCTGAGACTAATTGTTATAACTCTCTTTTCAGGATGGGGGCATTTTTCTCTCCTTGTCTTCCAGCATTTAATGTGCTTAAACTGATAGGCTTGATGTATTTAAGAAGCTGGGCAGTGCTGACCTGCAATGTTCCACACCAGCAGGTTTTCAGAGCTTCAAGGTCAGTAGCTAAGAGCTTTAAATGAACAATAGTTTTACACCTCAGACTTGTCACCATAATAATTATATGACAGAAACCTAGAAGTCCATATTTTGGGAAGGGCATACTGAACTTGAACATTCTCAAATGTTCTTTAAGTAGTTAAAGTTCTAGCAGTTTTACCATTTGCACATATATTTAGAAATTTGTTTTGAGATTTAAAAATCAGACTCTACATAGAGAACCAGCAAAATTGTTTTAAATTTTGCTATGTTTATCTTCTTCAATTCTTATCATGATTTGCACACTAGCTGACATTTCTAAAGAAGTGGTCTTTGGAGATGGAAAAGGGTTAAAGGAGGAGCAGTTGAAAATCATCATATATGCAGTTTCTTCTTTTTGTTGGTTTTGTAGTGTTACATTCCATGCACAAATTGAAAGTAAAGCGGGGAAATTACATAGGAGACATTGATGGGACTAAAGGCTGGCTGCCTTGAAAATGAAATAATTCCACCTTGTTAACTCATAACAACCAATCAGAATCAGTCTGCTAAAGGCACAGCAGTTTAATATGTATTTTGACTGGTTGCTAAATGTTCATGCACTTAATTGTTAGCACTTGAACATACGGGTCTATTCACTAAGATGCCGTAGACAGCCGAGTGAATAAACGACCCAAAGTGAAGTGAGCCGAACTCTGTTCGGCTATTCACTTCAGGCTTGTACGGCTGAAATCAGCCGTACATTGGCTTGCTTCGTGCGGCATCGGGTCGGCCGAATATGCTCAGCATGTTCGGCTGACCCGAAGTGCAGAAGGAGTTCGGCTCAGCCGATCCAACATCTGGATCGGCTAAGCCGAACTTCCGGCAGGCTACTCGCTGCTGTTCGGTCTATTCTCATAGATGCCGAACAGCAGTGAGTGAATAGCCGAATGCCGCCGAGCGTCAGAATAAAAAAATTAAAATCACCATAGGAATGCATGTCAATCACTAGAGGGGACCTGATGGAGAACTTCAGGTCCCCTCTGCTGATTGACAGCAGCAGTGGGCAAGTGCAATAGCTAGTTTGCTATTGGCTATTGCAAATTGAAAAAGCCAATAGGAATCTAGCTATGCATTCCTACGGTGATTTTTTTTTATTCTGACGGCAGCAGAACCGCCCGCCCAATAGAAAACAGTTGGGCGGAGCTGGCTGTCACTGCTAGCTCCACCCAATCGTTTTTCTATTTTATTTTTTACTACTTTTTTAACTGTTTTTCTATTCTGCTCGGTACCACAGAGGTACCAACAGAAAAGCCAAGCCGAATGCTGGGAGAAAGTGTTTGTCTATCTAATAGCGGGAGACACTTGGAGCGTCCGGGATAGTTCGGCTGTCTGGAGATCAGTTTCCCTGGTTACCTGGTAACCAGGAACGCTGATCTGTCTGTGCAAATGGCCGGCTCCGCCCAGCAGTCAGTAGCAGGCTGTCGGCCGGCTTCGGCTTTCACCTTGGCTCAGTCGAGACGAAGCATATGCCTTCAGCTCGACTGAGCCGCTCGGCCAACTTCGGGAGCTGTACGGGGTATAGTGAATAGCCCGTACAGCAGCCCTTCGGTTCTACTGAACCGAAGGGGTCCTGAGGCCGAAGCTAGCCGAAGGATCAGCCGAAGCTACGGCTAGATCCTTTGGCAGCTTAGTGAATAGATCCCATAATAACCACTTAGTGTGGTGGCTGACTTGTCTCCATACCTCCCATCTGTAGTTCTACCAGGCAGCACTAATACTAGCAATCCAACCTCATGGAGCTCTTAAAATGCTGTCAGGAAAAATAATTACACATTGCAGGATCAAGATGTTTAAAGCAGGTGAGCAGCAAGCGGTTTACATTTTTGAAATAGTAATCAATTACTCATATGGTATAATCCCAATTAAAGACCAACTGAACTTTCAGTTTATATCAGCTAAATACATTCCAGGTAGAAAAGCCTGTCCCCTTTCAACATGCTGGCCCTTGCTCTCTGTGTGGAAGTAGTGGTATCTCTGCAGAGGTCTAACATGTCCCCTGCTTAGTCAGAGCTATAGCTGTGCAATAAGCAAAATTCATGTGCCATGGTGATTGGAGAGCTTCTGCTCTGATTCAGCAGGGGGTGTGTTGGACCCCAGCAGAAAGACCACTGCTTCCACACAGAGAGCAAGGGACTTTCTCTTCAAGCATGTGGGCTTTTCTAAGTGCTTGTTAACAACCTAAGCTGTTACTGGCATTTTTTTAGCAACTGAGCAACTCCAGTCACTACTAGGGCCATAGAAGACAATTGTTTTCTACAGTATGTGCTCCGTTTACACAACATTGATCATTTTAACATGGGTGTGAACAAGCCCTAGCAAAAACAAACTGTAGGATTTGCACACTTTTTGTTTTTAAGTATCTGGAAAATATTTAGCTGATTTACATTGACAACAAAATGTAGAAAAGTCTAAAGAGGATAAATATGTAAAGCAGTGTATCTAGATAGAATAAAAACAACACAGCTGTATTTCAGCATGCCACTGCTGTTGGTGGTGAAGGTGGACAAAGATTGAATAAGCTTTGTTTACAAGGATTTTTTTCAGCTATTTTCAATGAAATTTAAAAATTATAGTTGCATGGCTGAAAATAAAAATCCATATCCTCGCATACAATGTTGTAAATTAAGCCTAATGTCTTTTACTCATTTCCAATTTTTAGAGCAAACTGTGACTTGTTGCTAAAAGGTTATATCTATAGCACAGCATAGCCATTAAAAAGTATTAAACATTTCTGCTTAGACTGGAGTTTTTACCTTGATAAGTACATGCGCATTCAAGGCCAGATTGCCCACAAGGTCAACCGAGGCCCTGCCTCAGGGCGGCAGGGAGCAGAGGGGCGGCAGGGAGCAGAGGGGCGGCAGGGGTGTGGAATTCCTATGTCCCGACGCGGGCCATGATGTTCTGGGTGCCGGGTGGTAGTTTTCTACATTTGGCCCAGCTTCGGGCAAACAGGGCTAAATGTATAGCAAGGAAGCCACTCATTTGTTTACAATGGCGATGTATGCAGCCTGCAGGTCTGTCCTCCGTCTACCTCTCTCCTCACTGCCCCCACCGTCTACCTCTCTCCTCGCTGGCCGCCTCTCTCCAAAGATCTTATGGATGGAGAGCGGGGAGCAGAGCGGAGAACGTCCGTTCTGCTCCGTGTTAACACTGACACGGGAGAGCTGCACTCGCAGCATTCCCATCTCAACTGTCACAGGAAAGCCAGCACAGTGCTGTGCTAGAACTTCTGTATTGGAGGTTACAGGTTCAATAAAGAGAATCTGTCAATTCCAAATGCTATCACACAGGGGCTTGTTAGCGACTGTGTGATAGCAATAAAATAAGTGACAAAAATAGAATTAAAGTGAAAAAAAAATGTGATAAATAATAATAAAATAAATACAAATGTAAAAACTAATAAAAGCCCCCTCTATAATATCACTTTTATGTGTTTACCCATGAATAAAGGGAGCTTACTCTTTATGCACCTGTGCCAAGGAAGGTTCTTGTTAAGTATATCATCCTCAAATGACTTAAGTGTTCACAGCGGTAGTCACAACTTAAGCCAAACTCTGGGGAACCATCATGAACCTGTACTCTTTTACTGTTGTAGTTTCTACACTGCTCATGACAAATCCACCTTTTGAAGGCTTCTTTAGTTGCATTAGTGTTACATTAAATGTAGTTTTCTTAATGTGGGATGCAGGCTAACTCTATAAATAATGGGCTTACCTTGATAAATGTTGAGCATTGACAGGTTATCCATGTGTGTGTCTTTTACTTTTGTCTTTTGCTTTTTCTTTCACAGATCTAACAACTTCTACTTAGCAATGCTACTGTTCATGCTTTTCCTGTGCATGCTGCCAACAGTTTTTGCTATAGTAAGGTATAAGCCATCTATAAACTGCGGACCATTTAGGTGAGACACAATATAACTGTTTATGTGGAACACATTTTCTCTTCATTTTATCAGCTCAGCAATTAATTTTATTTATTTTTTATTTTGGATACAGTAAGGGGAATTTATCAAAACTGGAGCAGAATAAATCTGGAGCAGCAATGCATGGCAACCAATCAGCTTCTCTCTTTCATTTTCAAATCATAACTGAACAAACTGAAGAGAGAAGCTGATTGGTTATTTTGGACACCTGCTCCAGATTCTGTCTTCTCCAGTTTTGATAAATTCCCCCTATAATGTTTAGCACTGTCTGTGCTACTTTTTGTTTTTTGACCTAACAGTTAGATTTTAAGGACAAGCTATTAAGGAACTGCCAGAGTTCGTTAGATGCTAGATGTTTATTTCTTCAATCACTAGGACTAGGTGTCCATCCAATTTCAAATTGTGGTCATATGTCTACTACTGACCACTAAAATGATAAAATATCTGTTATACCAACTCATTTCTATATTTTAATATCACTCTGTAGAATAGAAGGGAGGGGGTAAATCAGATCACAATCAGTCCCTTATCTCTCGTTTCAAACTGAATTATTATTTGTCGTTCAAAGGTTTTTGTTTGCTGAGTATTTTTAAAATCACCTAAACAATCAAAACATTCACGTCTTTCATATAGTGGTCAAGTGAGAAATTATGTTCTGCAGGTGTGTAGTAATTATTTTATTTGTGTTCTTTTATTTGTGTTCTTTTTGTTGTAATGTCTGTCCTGTATCACCAACGTAATATCCCTGGATGCACATTGAATGAGGTACACCACATTTTTGGAGGTGTGATCCTGTAATATTGAAGGTTCTTTTTCTGTGTGACACTTTTTAATACTGTATATTGATGTGGCTGCACAGTTTGCAGTGTTTATTGCTGCAAGGTTTTATTTCCTTGTTTGCCTCCCTGTAATCAGAATTTAGTTTCCCGCTGATTAATTTATGTCTGAGAGTAGGTAGTTATCTGAAGACCAACACAGAGTTGTTGGAAGTTATCTTTAAGAGCTTTATCTTATGTTAAGATGGTTATAGCTCTGTGATTATTTTTCTTCCCGTGCTGGATGATATGCGGTTACTAGAGGAACACATTTGTTTTTTTCTCTTTGTATTGTAAGATTATTCTCTATTTGGGTTTTCAAGGAAGTGTTTCTATGCTTGTGCCATTCCCTCCCTGCACTGCAGCCAGTGTACTGTCCGTACCCCATACACCCAACTGCAGCCCTGCACTGAACATATCGAATAACGCTCGAAAATGTCGAGCACTCATTGGTCAGCACGGTCACCTAACTATGCTGACCAATGAGAAGTGCTTCTTGGCATAGAATGGTATTTCTCACCCAAGAAATACAGAGGTCAGATCTGAGCCTGTAGTGCAAAAATCAAGGAGGTGTGGATTGTTCTGTTTTCAGTCTTTCATGAATGCTGCTGCCAGACTCCTCCACCTTATCAACCGTTCAGTGTCTGCCGCCCCTCTCTGCCAATCCCTGCACTGGCTCCCAATTGCCCAAGGAATAAAATTCAAAATACTAACAACAACATACAAAGCCATCAACAACTCTCTTAAATGAGAACTATGGGGTCAGTGTTTTTCCCCATAGTTCTCCTTAGGGTAATGGGAGAACACAAACTAGCGTCCTCCAGAGTATGGCATAAAACTAAGTCTCTGCAAGACCTCACCCTGTATAAAGCTGTCAATCCCTCCACTGGCTTCTAGTAGTCCAAAGGATAAAATTCAAAATATTGACAACCACTTACAAAGCCATCCATAACTCCACCTCCAGCTATATCTCCAACCTCATCTCAAAATATCACCCAAACCGTCCTCTCCGCTCCTCTTAAGACCTCCTGCTCTCTAGCGCTCTAATTACCTCCTCCCACGCTCACCTCCGGGACTCCTCCAGATAGTCCCCCATCCTCTGGAACTCCTTACCCCAATCCGCCTATCTCCTACGCTGTCCACCTTTAGGTGGTCCTTAAAAACCCATCTCTTCAGGAAAGCCTACCTCATCTCAACATAACTGCCTCTTACTTCCTTCAATAACTCAATCGAATCAATTGTTACCTTTTGTATCACTTGCCCCTCCTACTAGATTGTAAGCTCTCACAAGCAGGGCCCTCCCAAACTGAAACTGTATTGTATTGTAAATTGTATTGTAACTGTACTGTCTCCTCCATTTTGTAAAACGCTTCGCAAATTGTTGGCGCTATATAACTCCTGAATAATAATAATAATAATAATAGGATATAGGAAATTTCCATTTTTATCTGGAGCTCTCCTTTACACAGTTAGCAGGGTACCTAAAAAAGATTTTTTTTGTAGGTCTAAAATAATTAAATGCAATTTTCTTAACAGTGGACAAGAGAAAATTTATGACATCATTTCTGAGACCATTGAAGCTGATTTTCCTGCTTGGTTCAACAAGGTGATGAGCTATGTCAGTAGCCCAGTGGTGGTTCTTCCTGCCTTACTTCTGCTCTTGTAAGTGATTCTCACTCTATGGACCCATCTTAAAAGAAATGCTTATTTCATGAAATTTTGGACTACTGAAAATTAGTATACTAGTTCTTGCATTCAATTGCATTAATTTCCTTTGTTAATTTGTATGGCTTTCCAGCACTGAAGCATACTATTTGTAGATAAGTACAGGGTGATCCCATGTCAGGGAACTGTGCTGTAATTCTGATTAAGCACCATTCTATTTTTTAAATAAACATATTTCTGATGGTAGCAGTGTGACCATGTATTGTGGTAAATAAAAAAGGAATTAAAAATCTTCCTCCAGTTCAACCCAAGATGATATTCTTTTAATCCTGTTTTTCAGCTAAATAAAAATGTAATGCAGATGCATAAAGGTTGATTGTAGTTTGTTTGCTTTATAGCAGAAATCTCAAACTCAATTTCACTCGGGGGCCACTCAACCCCTTTTTTCTCCCAGGGGGGCCACTTGCCAATCTTTATACTTCAAAATAAAATGCAACTATATCCGGTATGGTACTACGGACACTACTGTACTCACAATAAGGCCCCATTCATAGCTGTAAGTTTAGGTGTATTTAGGGATTCCCCCCCCATACACATAAAAAATATTACCCCTGCACATATAAAATAATACAACAAACGTCCCCCGCCTCCACACACACACGTATATTAAATAAAACAAAGAGCCCCCTCTCTTGCTTACTCAGTGGCGGACCTAAGGAACAAAGGGCCCTGGTGCAAGATTTTTTCTCAAGCCCACCCTTCCACTCGGGGGGAGGGATGGGGGCCCGGGACTGGATCTCACTGGCCCCCCATATGGAGGATGGAGCAGGGGCAGATGTGGAGGATGGAGCAGGGGCAGATGAGGACGGAGCAGGGGCAGATGAGGACGGAGCAGGGGCAGATGTAGATGGAGCAGGGGGGCAGATGTGGAGGGAGCAGATGTGGAGGGAGCAGATGTGGAGGGAGCAGATGTAGATGGAGCAGGGGAGCAGATGTGGACAAAGCATGGGGCCAGATGTGGATGGAGCAGGGGGGCAGATGTAAATGGAGCAGGGGGGCAGATGTGGATGGAGCATGGGGTGATATGCTTGTGATGCAATGTATAACACAGAACAGAACATAGTTGTACTTGAAACTTTCTCGTACAGCTTTGTTCTATTCCATGTTCTAACTCGGCAAGTCACCTCTCCTCTCTGATAACGTCCTCCTGGCTGATAACGTCCTCCTGGCTGGTGTCAATTCACACAGCCGGAGGAAGCACGGGGAGGGGGGAGAAGCTGTGAAAAAGAAAGCACACTCAGTCAGACACGCCGCAGGTCTTCCTCTGCAATGTCAGGTGGCAGCTGCTTGCTGGGTCCTCGCGCCCGACGCCCCAGGGATGTCCTATTAGCTGCCAAAGTCCTCACTGCCCGGCGCCCACTCACCACCACTCAGTGGGCCCCCCCCATAGCCATGGGCCTTGGGGCGGCGACACCGGCCGCACCGCCGGTAGTTCCGCCCCTGTGCTTACTTTGTTGCAGGGAGGAGGCACAATCCCCGGTGATCAAGTGGCTAATTAGTAAGGTCTGGTGCAGACCTTACTAATCCATCCTTTCGACCAGCGTTTACTGAAGGATTTCAGAGCGCTGGCTGAAAGGATCAGAGAACAGCTACACGGTCTGCATTCGACAGAGATGCAGACCATGTAGCTGCTCCCGCAAGTCAGGTGCACGGTCCGTGACTGTGTGCCTGACTTGTCAGCTGGCTGAGGGCCACATAGTACCGGCTCACGGGTCAATTCTTTGAGACCCCTGCTTTATAGCACTTCCTTTAAACAAATTAGTATACAAAATTAAAGCAATTTTTAAGACATTTTGCTAATTTGTTATTCTAATCCAGAAAAACAAATCTACATAGACCGGGTTATTCACAAAAGGGAGAAGAGTTTGGAGAAGGCAGGAGAAGTGAACAATCTAGACCAAAATAGCAGATTCGTAAAACATCTCCAATTCAGCTATGTTCTCCTAGATTGTTTACTTCTCCTGCTTTCTACAAACTCTTCACCGTTTTGTGAATAAGCTGATAGTTTTTGCATGTTATCCATGTTATGTTTGGAGTATACTGAAACATTTGTATGTACAGCATGCAGCCAAATTACTGCACATGCCATTTAAGTTTGAAAATTAAGCTGCAAACACATATACCTCATATTGAGATATCTTTAAAGAAGACCTCCGGGCATATCAAACATTCAAACTTGCAGTGGAGCTACCCCCGTACTGCAAGAGTTAACTGTAGGGATGCACTGATACCGGTTTTTCGGTATCGAGCACGGGTAGCGATCATTTTTTTTCAGTACTTGCCAACACCAAAGTCCCATTAAGGAAGCCAGGCGGCATGTGATGACTCGCCACCTGGCTTCCGAATTAGCAGGGAAGTGAATTGACCGGAAAGCTGGCTCCATGCTCCCTCATCACCAAGTGATGTAGGAGCATGGAGCCAGCTTCTCGGCCAATGAGAAAGCCGGGCAGCGTGTAATGACTCGCTGCCCAGCTTCCTGATACCGGAACTCACCCAAATACTCAGTATTGGCACCGATACTAGTATCGGTGCATCCCTAGTTAACTGCTCGTTTTGGGCTAGGGTCTAAAATAAAAAAAGATATACTCACTCTATTCTTGGTCCCGTCTGGCTGCTAGACTGGCCCCCACAGCTTCTTCTCCCCTGGTATCCGGCAATTAAAGAACCCATGATGTCATCATGTCCTTTCACTTGCACTGGATGTGAAGACACTGAGGGACATTCTACAGCTGGAGCATAGGGGGACCTCCAGTCACCACTGCAGGACCAAGGTTCAGGTGAATACATTCTTTTAATTTTAGACCCTAGGCCAAAATGAGCACTTTACCCTTGCAGTGCGGAGGTAGCCCCACTGCAAGGGTTAATGTTTAATATGCCCAGAGTTCTTCTATAACTATAATGTTCAGTCTCAGGTTTTAAAGTGTAAACTCCCTTTGAAATTAACGCTGTGCAACTGAAGGCAAAGGTTTGTTTTTTTGGATTTGAAAGAACCACCTGAAAGGGCATAGCACTGGTAGAGTATGGACATCATTTCCTTAGTGTGCTGCATATATTATGTATTGTGCACAGCACATCTGAACATTGGTGCACTTCACCTCCTTGTAACCTTCACCTTTAATCGAATAGCACACACTCAGCTCGTGAACTATATTTGGCCCCCTAACCATAGAGCTCCTACCAACAAGATAGCTTCTGTTACTTACAGCAGCTGCACTGTTTGAGAAACAAAACATAGGGACTTTAACTAGTGGAGGGGCAGATTTATAAAACAGTACATGTGACTATAAAACAGTAAATCGGTCACTTTTATTTGCACCAGGAAGATTTGCCTACGGTGAATGCTTGGTAAAATGTTAGATTAAAGGAGAACTATGAGGTGAGTGGTTTTCACTCACCTCATAGTTCTAGCCGACCTGTGACAATGAGACTGTCACAGGTCGGCTCAGTAGATCGGGAGGTGAGCGAACACATGCCGGTGTTCGCTCACTTCTCGATCCTGTCACAGCTCTCTGCCGTGACAGGGGAGGGACTGGATTCCCCCCTCCCCACTCCGATCCGCCAGCGATGACTGGTGGAACGGATGGGGGAAGGGGCGTGTACAGCTGGCTCTGCCTCTAGATAGGCAGAGCCAGCTGTCACTCACGCAGCTGGGCAGATCTCGACATCGATGTCGGGATCCGCTGCGACGTCTCAGTATACTGCGAGCTGTAGCCCTGAAAAGCCCTGACCCCATAGTTCTTCTTTAACTGCTTAAAAAAATGCCACTTACAATATAAAAGAAAATATTTAAAAGGTAGATAACACATTAAAGATACCAACTTATATTGCCTTTGCTCTACCTTTTTATGTACCAATAACATTTTTGTCTTTTTATAGTATGTTAATCTATTACCTTCAGAGCATTGCCAGATCCCTAAAATTCACCAATAATCAGCTGAGGGCACAGATCCAGACTGTAAGTAAATCCTCAAGAGAGTTCTGCTTTTCCCTGTAACTGTTCATCGTATTCCAAGTGTCTTTATTTTTTTAGGAAAGAATGGAAGACAAGAAAAAGGTTTTTCAGATGGCTGTGGGTACGTTTTATGATTTTACAAACATTTTCATTTAATAGCGACTGTCAGAATTGGCACATCACATAAATATGTATGAGGCATTTATATAATATGCAGTATATAAATGATGGAAACACACAATAAAGTTGTGCCTTGCAAACGTTAAATGACCATAACTTATTTTGCGCAAGTTATAAGATGGCTGAAGAAAAAGGTGTTATATTGCCACTTTCTGGCAAACTTCAGTAATGCAGCACTGAAAACCTAGTGCAAGTCAGAGCATACTATATTCAGTGCAAGGTATGAAATTAATCTTTATAAAGGCTCCGTGAAAATTGTTTTGAAAAATTGAAGGTATCAGAAGGAAAAATAAATAAGTCAGTAACATTTTTAAAATAAAATAAGTAACTAAATCATGTTGGATCTATCCTGTATTTCTCAAAACATAGAATATGTTCAGAAATTCTTTATAATAGTGCAATTTTTTTGCTTGAAGTGAAATTCAGGATTATTCAACCTGTTCCTAATTAAGACGCCTTGTATTGTGGTCTTTTACACAACTACAAAACCCTATTGCAGATGTCTATATATTTTATGCATGATGATATTGAGTGCAAAGTAAATTGTTGCATAAACTGTTGGCGCTTTATAAATCCTGAATAATAATAATAATGTAGAATTTGCAGCTCAGTAGGATTCATCAGGCTGATGTCATCTCTATTCTGTCCAGTCTCCAGTGAGGGTCAAAGTTCTCCATGTTTTGTATGCACAAAAGGCGTTAACTTACTAAAGAAATATAGACTGTTTACTTCCTTCAAGCAACCAAAAAAAATCAGTTTTTTTAATCTCCCTCACACAGCATTGTGTATTAAAGTGATCACAGTTTCACCTTATTTACTAAGCTATGTCATCATTCACTTTGCAAGTCATCAGTATCTATTCTTTAGTTAATCAACCCCAAAGTTTAGGCTGTCAGCCTCCTGGTATGTACAGTGCATGCTTCTTCCAAATCCATTAAAACTTATGCATGCATTCGTGTATACTCTATTCAAGATCATACACAAGTGAATATACTAAATACAAGCCGTGATCCCCATGGACAGGAGTTCCATTTCATACTTTTCAGGAATGGTTAGCAGAGATTTTAAAATAAAACTATAGCCCGTACAGCTCCCGAACTTGGCCGAGCGGCTCAGTCGAGCCGAATGCATATGCCTCGGCTTGGCTGAGCCGCGCTGAAAGCCGAAGCTGGCCGAGCGGCCTGCTTCTGACAGCTGGGCGGAGCCAGCCGTGATCTTTTGGCTGGCTCCGGCCACTTGCAGAGAGATCAACGTCCCTGGTTACCAGCTAACCAGGGACACTGATCTCCAGACAGCCTAACTCTCCTGGGAGAGAAACACTGCTTTTTTTATTTATTTATTTTTATTCTGACACAGAGCCGTGTCAGAATAGAAAAAAAAAAAAAATTCACCATAGGAATGCATTGCTAGATTCCTATTGGCTATTTCAATTTGCAATAGCAATAGAAAACTAGCTATTGTACCCGCCCTCTGCTGCAGTTCTCCATCAGGTCCCCACTAGTGATTGACAGCAGCAGAAGGCGGCTACAATAGCTAGTTTGCTATTGGCTAGTGCAAATTGAAATAGCCAATAGGAATCTAGCAATGCATTCCTATGACGAAAATGTTTTTGTTTTTTTTTTACGGCAGCAGAACCGCCGGCCAATAGAAAACAGTTGGGCGGAGCTAGCTGCCACTGCTAGCTCCGCACAATCGTTTTCTATTTATTTTTTTCTACTTTTTTAACTATTTTTCTGTTCTGCTTGGTCCTACAGAGGGACCGAGTAGAACAGCTGAGCATGTTCGGCCAACCCAAAGCCACGCGAAGCCACCTGATGCACGGCTGATTTAAGCCAATATACAACTGAAATCAGCCGTACCAGCCTGAAGTGAATAGCCGAACAGCGTTAGTGAATAGACCCCTATAACTTTGGAGGAGGCTGCTCCTGCCTTCAGTAAGAGGTAAGTAAGCACCTGGCTGGGGTGTTATAACTTGGATTAAGTTTACAGGGCTAGAGAGTGTGGGCTGTTTTTCTTTTTTCTAATGGTAAGTCGGTACTGAACTGTACACTGACCTTTTCAGAAAAAAAAAATAGTTCAGTTGTTTAACTGAAAAAAATATAGAGTATTTGTTCAATAAATAATCTTTGCTCAATAAATAATTTGTTTCCTGAATTGGGCATTTGTCTGGAAACCTTGGGCATCTAAAATAAATTAAATATCTAAAAACTCAACAAATTTTTATTCCACTAGTAATATTGTAGTCAAATAACAATGGTTGATAATACCACATCAAGCTATTTAGTTTTAAATCTTAAATTAAAGAAAAGAATAGACGCAATAGAAGTATAGAAACATAGAGGTTTATTTTCTTATGTCTACTGTACTGTACTGTTCAGAATACATATATAGGATGTGTGATGTAAATACACGTGTGTTACAGCCAGATTCCTGCATAAAGAAGCACCTGAAAAGAAGCGTGATCCAGAGAGTGACATCATCAGCCAAGAGTCTTCTGTGCATTCATCCACTCCACGAAAAAACGGCAGCGTGGTGAACTTTGAATCTCCAGGCAGCAAGCGCAGCCAGATACAAACAATCTCACAATCAGCTCCTCGTGTGGTTGTACCCCAGCCCCCAAATATTAGTCCAAGCCCCCCTGGGTCTAGGGTGAAACCACAGAGGGCAGAACTTGTTTCCAAAAGGTATGTTCAATATGTTGTAAAGTTTATTACAACACAATGTAACTGTTAAATGTGCATTTCTGAGTCTAGAAAAGAAGTGTAGAAATTAAAAGAGAAGTAAAGCCAAAACGTTTTTGTTCTCTTTTGGGTCACAGGAGTATATTAACTAATGGATCCCTGTGACACAAGGTCAACATATAGTGGCCTACTGCCTGCCATGAGTTGACAGCGCAGAGCCGCACTAAGACCAGGAAGGATCCCGACAATAGTGTTGGGATCCACCCAGTTGCCTGATGTGCCCACTTCCTCCCCATCTGTCTCATCTGGAGGAACAGACAGTGGAGGGGGAATCCATGTGAGCGAGAAAGACCGGCAGGTATTGTTCTCTGCAGGAAAAATCAGTTAACTGAGCATTCAATGTTTACATAAACACTCAGTTCTCAGTATAGAGCCTGTGTGTGTCCCAAGTGGCTGTAAGTATTGGAAAATGTCAGATTTTACCCTCCCAGTATGTATTCTTTAAATAATTACAATCAATGTGTGCTATATTGATTGCTTTTTAATAACCCCAGGAAAAAAACAAATTATGTTAGTATTTTATATAGCAGAGATAGGTAGATTAAAAAAGTGTAATGAATTTCAGGTCTGGTCAACCAGAAATTCGCAGGTAACATGGCCTTGTTACAAAGATATTACATAAAGAACTGTGACACTCTCTACTTCTACTTTATGTACTGAGATGATTTTAGCAAACTTTATCTGTTGTTTTTACCTGCTTGTGTAGCTATTTCTTTGAACTGCTCAATTTTATTTCAACATAAAAAGTTACCTTTAGTTTTTTTTTTTTTTTTTAATAATAACTTCTATTTACATTTTCTTAACAGTTTTTGGGGGACTTATAGTGACTTTGTTGTTGCAAAATATTCCACCACTTATGCTATTATTAGTGTGGTACAGTATAGAATATATAGTGATTTATAATATTCTAGAATGGGTTGCAATGCAGTGCTCATATGTATGCATGAATATTTTATTTGCAGACCTCCCAGTATAAAGCAAGGAAGCTCCAATGATGTCTGCAGAACCAAGAATTACCATTTGGCAGGGTCAAAGAAACAAGCTGAGGATGCCCTATCAGAGCCTCTGTTCAGAAAAGGCCTGAGACACATTACACCCGAGCGTCATGGGTCTAGTACATCAAGTATTATTCCTCACCGGCCACATGCAAGATATTTTATAGTTAATGAACATGAATCTCGCAAGAAACTCCTCCGTTCTACATCTAGACTGCCAAGACATTTCCGAATGGACGAGTCTGGTGATATTGTAGAGTTGTATCCAAGAAATGTCAGAAGGTATGTTGTTCAAACACCACGTCGGTCTCACTCACCACACCTAAGTGAGGAAGAGGAAGATGAACTTCAAAGGGATTTAATCCGCAAATCCAATCGCCCTCGTTCCCTATCGGATCTTCGTCATCCTCCTCGGTTTTACATTGGAGACCGTAACGACAGCCAAGCGATACCTGGACGAGATCTAGCTCGCATGCAATATAAATCCTGGGAAGGAGGCTTTCATATTGACTCAGACAAACCACATCATCGCAAAAAAATGAATCTGAAAAACTTGGATCTTGATGAACAGTTTGTGGAACGACACCGGAAAGTCAAGTCAAAGCACAAACTTGAACCTTGCCTTACAGAGTCAGACTCAATGTCTAACGCATCCAGCAGTGACCAGCAAAATAGCAGCACTGACCAATACATCCAGGTCATTCACTCCAAGGACAAATACATCAAAAGTGGTGGAAAATTAACCAAGAAAAAAACAAAAGCAAGTGTGGACTTAAACACCTCTCCCTTGAATGAATTAATTTGTTCAAATGTCTAGAATTGTAATATTTAATAAAACAGACATTAAAAAAGCAGTTGGACCATTTCACAAATTTCTAAATGATTATAAATAGCCATAGTGACCTACACACTTGATACTAGTTCTGAACATCACAAGTGGTAACATCGCATTGCATTAGTCAGTCATGAGACATGCTATATTTTGTCAATTTTAATTTACATTAATATGACCATGCATAGAGGAGCTAGATTTCATAATGAGGAGCACATGCTTATCAGAAACACAACTTGCTCATGCAAGATGACTTGGCCCTTACTTTAGGGACTATATTTATTTGATCTGCCATCTTAAAGTCCTACACACTGAACTGAGTTCTGTGTCCTCAATCTCTTTTTCTATTCTAAAAGGGAAATATCATGGGTCTTTATAGACCCCTGATATGTACCCAAAGCCCCTAAGAGTAAAGTTAAAAAAAAATATATAAAAATAAAATTATTTAAAATAAAAAACGTTAAAAATGTTGAAAAAAAAAGTAATTTTTGGTTTTGGTTTTGGCCTGACATCCTTTTTTGTATACATGCACATGGCATGTAATTAATAGATATTGGGATGGAAATAAACAGAGCCATGCACCAATAACAGCAGACAGAAAAGAGACTGGTTGAAAGGCTGAACATTTTGGGCTGTTACACTATAATTTCCAGATACTGCATGTCTCACTTATACAAGTCTACAGTATGGCAAAGAAAAAATCAATTACTCTGTGGGCATGTATTTCCTTTATGTCTTTATTTTCTTTACATATGAGTACTTAAGAGTATAGAAGTTTATAGAAGTGCACAAGGCAACTAAGATATGCAAACAATGGGACTGCTTTGTTTGCTTACAATAATCAGAAAATGTAGCGTATAACATGCCAGCAAAGTTTTGAGTCACTTGCCTAAAACAAATAAGCAGATCAGAATTTTTCTCCATCTCTACTGATCTGCATACTGGGTCAATATGTATAATTTTCAAAGTGAGTCAGCAATGGCAGCCCACGTATTTCACACAGGGCAGGTTGGAAACTCTCAGCATCAGATGACAAACTCTCCACACAAAAACAGGGAATCACCCTTAGAGCCTGTATCGATTTGTTCTTCAAATTTTGGATTTGCATTCCCTTACAAGTCTATGGGAATGGCAAATTTCCTTGAAACGGGTCATATGCAGGTCAGCTGCAGTTAAAATGCAGCGGTCATTAAATTCTAAATGATTTCCAAAGCGTATCAAACTAGAGCCGCGTGACAATACTATCCGTGCCCTTAACATCATCCACTTGGCCCTGTCGGAGTCCTCACCTCTTCTACTTTTATCCACTGACATGGAAAAGGCCTTCGATAGGGTCGACTGGTCTTTCCTTCATCTCACCTTGGAACACATTGGGCTTGGCCCGGGCATGCTGTCATGGATCTTAGCTTTATATACAGACCCAACGGCTAGGGTTTGTGTTAACGGTACATTGTCAGCCCCTTTTGCTATCTCCAATGGTACCAGACAGGTCTGCCTGCTCTTGCCCCTTATTTTCATCTGACACTCGAACTCCTACTGCGTACCATTCGGACACATCGGGATATCCGAGGCATCACCGTAGGTCCCCACCAGCATAAAATTGACGCCTACGTGGTGGATCTATTGTTCTTTATTATATCCCCTGATACGACTGTACCTAACCTCATGTCAGCAATACACCAATACAGCGAACTCTCAAACTTCCATGTTAACAATCAGAAGTCGGAGCCTCTCACGTGTCCAACAAAACTTCTCCTACCAATGGTCCTCAACATCCCTCAAATACCTGGGAGTACTGCTCCCCGAGATCTGGAGAAACACGTACAGTCTTAACTTCCCCCCACTGCTTCAGAAGTTTAAATCGGGCCCACAGGGTAGGTCTCGTGTTGCGTTCTCCTGGTCAGGGTGCTGTAATGTTATTAAACAAAACATTCTCCCACGTTTCCTCTATCCTTTTCAGGCTCTCCCAATCTATATCCTGTGTTCCTTTTTTAACTCCCTATACGCCACGTTCACTATCTTTGTTTGAGCTGATAAGGTCCCTAGGCTCAGGCAATCGATTTTACAGTGACCCAAGATGTCAGGAGGCCTTGCCTTCCCCAACTTCTACCTTTACTACATGGCATCCCATCTGGCACGCGTAATAGACTGGTGTCGCCATGGAGACACTATGTCGTGGGTTGTGTTGGAACAATGGCGACCTCTATTCCCCTAGCGGTTTTGCCATGGTGTGACGAGCCGTTACCCAGGGCGACTAGAACACATCTGACAATGGGACCTACTTGGCGGATGATGCGGGAAGCATTGAAGGGGAAACTACTAACCCCCCCTGGCCCATGCATCCGATAATGGGAAACCTGGGGTTTCCCCCGTGTCTGGAGGACGGCTCGTTTCGCTGCCTTTTCGCTCTGGGAAAATGCTGTGTGCTGCATTTTCTTTGGGGCCCTTTGTGGCAATCCTTACAGGATTTCTCCTTAGACCCTGATCTGGGAAACCTTCGGTTCTGGCGACATCTCCAGCTATCCCATTTCTTCTCCACACTCCCCGCAACTGCCTTGTATGCCCAGGCCCTCTCTGCCTTTGAACAAACTTGCTATGATCCTGGATCCATTGCCAAAACTCTGTCCCTATGTTACCAATTAGTGTTGTCTCCAGATTTAGAATTGCCGTTACACTTTCTTGAGCAGTGGGAACAGGAATTGGGGGTGCAATTTATGCTGGCAGAACAGAATAAGATACTATGGCTCTCTCTGAAGTCATCTATTTGTAATAAATACCAGGAATCGGGCTACAAAATTCAAATGCAATGGTAAAGGGCCCCTCACAGACTTCACCAGATGTTCAGGGACCTGCCTCACGCTTGCTGGCGGTGCGGCTCTTCTCCTTTTGTCACGCCCTACTGTCTGCGTTGTATGAACCACAACTGCGGAAGGCTGAGTGACTGTGGTTTATCTCTAATTATGGCAATCAGTACTGAACTCCAGGCGTCACTCTCAGGAAGGAGAGTTAGGAGTTCTTGACATCATCTCCCAAAGTAGGGTTGGAATCTGTTACTGGGGAAGGTATTAGGGAAGGTATTGCTTTATACCCGCCACTGCTCTATAGGGTAAATTTGGATGCGATCACCACGTATGGTCTAAGTAACGAAAAGGTTCAATATATTAATTAATAATATATTAATATAAATGCACTGAGGAGTTCAGGTCAAGCACACTGATAACAGAAAGTATTATCCTTATATTGAATGCATTGAATGCAATAAGTATTGCAATGTAATCAAATCCAGCATAGGCAAAATGATAGTCTCATTCAGGTAATAAGTATTGCAATGTAATCAAATCCAGCATAGGCAAAATGATAGTCTCATTCAGGTAATAAGTATTGCAATGTAATCAATCCAGCATAGGCAAAATGACAGTATATGAACCAAGGTATTTATCCGGTCCATGGAAGGTACTGGCTGGTCAATGTCAAGGCTGCCTCATTAGGAGTCCAGATCCACTGGGTCACAGGGGTTCAGGCAACAGGACTGGCATGCATCCTCCACGCTGGTAAGGATTCAGGGAGCAGGTTCGGTTGGGGGTTGCAGTCGTTGACACCGCAATAACAGACCGTCGTGCAAGTCCCCCAAGCCGGCTTTTAAGACACGAGGAAGTGCGGGTGGACGGAGCCGCACGGTCCTCTCGGCACTTCTGCGTTCCAGCGTGGAACGCAGCAGCGCCCAACACACACGTCACTGCGCCGTTGCTGAGTGCGTTCCACGCTGGAACGCAACGGCGATATTCGGCGGATGTTCGTTACACCTGCAGACATGCTCTATATCTTCTGGTCCTGCCCGAAACTGGCGTCTTTTTGGACACAGGTTAGACTGATTTCTCAAAAATTCATGGACCGACCAGTGCCAATCAATCCGGCATTCTTCCTCCTCCAATATAACCATTATACGCTCAAGGGATATTCCCAATCAGTGCTAGTGCATTTGCAAAATGCTGCTTGCGCATGTACAGTATACCCCTCTTGTGGAAGCAGGAGACCCGACCTGTGGTTCAGCTCTGGTATTCTAAAATAAATTATACCAAACTCATAGAAGATCTTACCAGTTCCATTAAGGGCACCTCCTCCAGATTTGCAACCACCTGGTATTACTGGATCGAATACACTACAACTGCTGAATACCGTACAATTATGGAATCTTGAGCATAGACCCCATCTCCTCTTCCTATTTTACATCCCTGTCCTTCCTGACCCCTCTTGCTACCATCCCTCCTCTTCCCCTCTATTCAGATCCCCTGTATGTCTTCCCTACCCCCCTTCCTTGATTCTATTCCTTTGACTACCCCCGAGTATTTAGGATGTACTTATGCCCCTGAGTTACTGAGCTTTGTCCTATTGCAAGCACACTGTCACTGTTACCTCACACCCATTGGGGCACAGCTGGCATCTGGATTACCACTGTTACATCACTGATGAATCTGCATTTACTCTTGAATATGTTGATCAAGGGTGTAATGTGTTCCTTCCCTATGTTTGATGTCTGCATCCTATAGATGTATTATACTTTTCGATGTTGTTTTATGTACAAATAACAAAAATAAAACAATTTATAGAAAAAAGCGTGTCAAACTCATGCCATTGATGCATGCCCAATGTCCCTTGATAAATGCCTTTACTCTGCTACACAAAGAAATAATAAGTCTCTATATTGCTATTATCTTCACCAAAACATTTGCTCATCTTCCACAGAGTAAGTTCAGGAAACACTTTTATTAGTTGATTTTCTTGCTAAAGCATCTTTTTATACAGGGTCAATTCACATGAGAAACGTTATTTGCTCTCTCTAGTTGTTACTTTACCTTTGCATATTTTTTGTTTGAAAAAATGTTATTCATGTAAGTCCCAATCGTTATGTAGCATGCTCGTTAAGCCTTCCGACTGAAGCGTTAGGCATAGGGATGTCCAGATACCAGTGCCGATACTTGGCATTTTCACGAGAACTACCAGGGTTGCAGCGGTTGCAATTGGGA